AGCATGGCTACTTCTCAAATGACACCCTAATTCCTACATAGCACACTAGTTTTGACCAGAGCCCAGACCCACCTAGGCTCTGGTCAAAATGTGTACACTATATAGGGAATAGGGTTCCATTTGGGACACAGCCCATGTGTCCTGGGCCTGGCTATGACTGTAATGGACCCTGGTCCCCCAAATCCCTGCACCAGCCTCCCAATCATCAATCAGGCTGGGCTTTCAGGCTCCTGCTGGGGCTCTCAGAGTCTCTCCATAGGGCCTCTAGTCTCCACAGGTGCCTCTGGAGGTGCGTGGCAGTCCCAGGTCCCAGGGCCAGGGCCACCTGATCCTAGCCCAGAGAACAGGCGTGTAGCTGGTAGTGCTGAGCGATTAACCTAAATTTAGGTTCTTTTTCTTTTTTTAAACAACTAATTGACCGACATCGGTTCAATTATTATTGTCGGTCAATTAGTTGAATTCCATTTTTTTAAGGCCTATCCTTTTTCGCACAGTTTCTCTAGAGATAAATCAGATCCAATCTGAACTGTGCGATCTAGTAGGGAGTTGTAGTTTCCAACAGGCCAATATTCTACATAGTTTAGCACATAAAATGTGGTCATTAACAACAATGACCATAATCCATTGCTCGTCTACTTGTCCGGTCTGTGTTTCTTTTATGCCTGCTACGGAAGAGAGAATAGTGCGTGATCGTGAGGTGACATTGAGAGCAGCTGTTGCTTCACAAGGTATCTCTACCTGAAAATATATTATCTAAGTGATTGATAGTTGGTATTCAGCAGTCATAAAAGTGTGCCTTATTTACTTTGAAGAACTACAAAATAGTGATTTTGTCAGACAGCATAAGCAGCAGCTCTATAGAGATGAGATGATGACTAGAAACGTGTTGAAAATCCCAAATTGTTTGCATAGTCAACTTACACACAGCTCTGACACACACACTTACCCCACCAGACATGCCACCAGGGGTCTTTTCACAGTCCCCAAATCCAGAGCAAATCCAAGAAAGCGTACAGTATTATATAGAGCCATTATTGCATGGAACTCCGTTCCATCTCATATTGCTCAAATAAACAGCAAACCTGGTTTCAAAAAACAGATAAAGCAACACCTCACGGCACAACGCCTCTCCCCTATTTGACCTAGATAGTTTGTGTGTATGTATTGATATGTAGGCTACGTGTGCCTTTAAATTTTTTTTATGTAGTTCTGTCCTTGAGCTGTTCTTGTCTATTAATGTTCTGTCTTATGTCATGTTTCATGTTTTGTGTGGAACCCAGGAAGAGTAGCTGCTGCTTTTGCAACAGCTAATGGGGATCCTAATAAAATACCAAAATACTTGGAATGAAATAATAAAGTCATCAAATAAAGAAAATGATATATACACAACAACTGAAATATGTATCAAAGTAACATAATGTGAGTAAATTATGGTTAATAAGTGATAAGCAGTAATGGGCAAACATTACCATCATGGGACTTTTATTAATTGTTTTATTCTGTGCTGTTACAGCATTCAACCCACATAATGCATAGTGCATTTAATGTTATTATTTTCTAATAATCTAACCAAAACCGAACCGACCTCAAAAAGCACTAATCACTTAGCACTACTAGCTGGGCTTTGATCACTGGGGACTCTGGTCCTTTTCTCTTCACATCCTCCATGGGTCCCGGGCCCTTGGCCCTGCATGCTGTGACGTCTAAATCACATTACCACAGGCTGAGGAGCACAGAGTGCAGACCCAGTCAAAGTCCCCACGCGGGGTTGTGTTGGGTCTGCAACCATGACAATGGTTCCGGATGGAATCTGGATGGAAGGCATCTCAGTCTCTCTGTGGGCAGATAGAGACACACAGCATCTGCTGCTCAGCTCTCCTCTGTCCTCTACACATCTGGCTAGTAGGAGAGGAGATGGGGAGTGGGGACTGGGAGTGTGGACTGGCAGTGGGAGTGGGGACTGGGAGTGTGGACTGGGAGTGGGAATGGGAAAGTGGCTGTAAGTTTCAATGCTTCCACAGCTGATAGATTGGTATCACGTAATCTCCCCCCTTCCCACATTGATAAGTGTGAAAGATCACGAGTTGATGCATTCCTCAGTTGATCTATAATGTCTGGAAGTTGACTGGCTAAATGGCCTCACAGGTCTTCTCCAGGTATTTCTACGTCAGTGACCCTCCCATGGGCACATTCAGTCTGACGTGAGAGAGTGTATCACAACACAGTTAATCTTATTATTTTAGACTCTCTGGCACTACTTTCTCTTAACCTTTGCCATTTTGTTTCCCCACAACTGTGTTTATGTCTTTGCTTTCAGGTGACTCACTTCTTTTGGAATTGTTTCTGTCTGCTGCTAAAATTCCACAACTCTCTTTCTCTTTCTCTCTTTATTTCTCTCTTTATTTCTCTCTCTCTCTCTCTCTCTCTCTCTCTCTCTCTCTCTCTCTCTCTCTCTCTCTCTCTCTCTCTTTCTCGTCTCTCTCTCTCTCTCTCTCTCTCTCTCTCTCTCTATCTCACCCCCACCTTCCTCTCTCTCTCCCTGGTCAAAGCCAAGGCCCCTGGAGCCAGCTGTATATGAGAGCAGGTATGATTATATCTGAGTTGCCTTGCGTTAGGTTATTCTCCCAGGAGGGATGCAGAGGCTTTTTCCAGAGTCTGGACAGAGGGGGAGGTTTAAGTAGATTAGATGTTCATCTACAATTTTCCACAAGGACAAACATGAAGAAAGGGGTGAGAAAAAAAGAGGGAGAGAAGCTATGCAAGACTTACTTGTGGGGCTTTTGTCTCACTTGTTGTGTGACTGCATGTGTGTTTGTAATTGTGTGTATGTGTCTGGCTCAGAGCGTCTCTGAGCCAAGCCCCCTTGGAGATAAGCGTTCTGTAATTTCTTCCATTCGTCTCTCTCCGAGGCCCTTTTTATTATGATTATTGCAGCATTTTTATGGCCCATATCGCTAAATACTCTAATTTGTGCTCCTCCTCCTCTCCCTCTCTTCTCGAGGGCCTCAGTCCTTTATATCTGTGGGAGACTATGATCAAGAGGCTTTGAAGCCATGCATCTACTGTCTTTAGTACTATATTCTCTCTGCTGTGTCTGTCTCTAATATATTCTCTTTGCTGTGTCTCTCTCTAATATATTCTCTCTGTTGTGTCACTCTCTAATATACGCTCTCTGTTGTTTCTCTAATATATTCTCTCTGCTGTGTCTCTCTCTAATATATTCTCTCTGTTGTGTCACTCTCTAATATACTCTCTCTGTTGTCTCTTTAATATATTCTCTCTGTTGTTTCTCTAATATATTCTCTCTGCTGTGTCTCTCTAATATATTCTCTCTGCTGTGTCTGTCTCTAATATGTTCTCTGCTGTGTCTCTAATATATTCTCTCTGCTGTGTCTCTAATATATTCTCCCTGTTGTGTCTCTCTCTAATACATTATTTATGCTGTATCTCTCTCTGATATATTCTCTATGTTGAGTGTCTCTCTCTAATACATTATTTATGCTGTATCTCTCTCTGATATATTCTCTATGTTGAGTGTCTCTCTCTAATATATTTTCTCTGCTGTGTCTCTAATATAATCTCTCTGCTGTGTCTCTAATATATTTTCTCTGCTGTGTCTGTCTCTAATATATATTCTCTCTGCTGTATCTCTCTCAAATATAATCTCTCTGCTGTGTCTCTCTCTAATATATATGATCTCTGCTGTATCTCTCTCTAATATATTCTCTCTGCTGTGTCTAATATATCACTGCTGTGTCTCTAATATATTCTATCTGCTGTGTCTCTCTCTAATATATTCTCTCTGCTGTATCTCTCTCTAATATATTCTCTCTGCTGTATCTCTCTCTAATATATTCTCTCTGCTGTGTCTCTAATATATTATATCTGCTGTGTCTTTCTCTAATATATTCTGTCTGCTGTTTCTCTAATATATTCTCTCTGCTGTGTCTCTCTCTAATGTACTCTCTTTGCTGTGTCTCTCTCTCCTCTGGCCTTAAAGTGCATGTCAAAGAGCAGCTTCAGCTTTTTTAATACCAACTGTCAACTTTGAATGCCAACTGCCTGTCACAGACAGTGGATAAACATGTCACTATCTCCTGGATAGCTCTGTTGAGGCATGAAGTTTGGAGTGTTTTAGAGATGGTCAATGGTAGAGATAGTGTGAGGAGACTGGGTCTGACAAGGTGTGTGTGTGTGTTCTCTTCATATCATGTCTCAGTGAACGTTTTCTTGGCTCAAGTGTACATCTGAAATGTCACTCTCAGACACAATATCGTACTGTTTGTTGCGTTGCTGTGTTCATCATTTTTGACAGACATTGTAACTGAAAATGTGCTGACGCCAGTCACTATTAAAGACAGTAGCTAGAAGTCTCTATTCCCTCTTTTTCTCATCTGAACCTGCCTTGACTAATTGAGTTAGAATTGATTTAGGGCCAGTAAATGTAAATAAAATGACACTGTCAGAACTCGTTGTGGGTTGAGTTAGTGATTTACAAGCTCTGGTCGATTAGCCTGGGAATGGGAGGGAGGGAGGGAGGGGATGGAGGGAGGGGGTTGGGGAGAGAGAGGTTGGAGAGAGAGGTTGGAGAGAGAGGAGAGAGAGCTGAGAGAGAGAGAGAGAGAGAGAGAAGAGAGAGACTCCTCTCTCTCGTCGCTCTCTCTCTACTCTATTCTCGCTCTCGCTAGCCTCTTCTCTTCGCCATCTCTCTCCTCCTTCTTCTCTCTCTCTTCTCTCTCTCTCTCTCTTCCTTCTCTTCTATCTTCTCCGGCTCTCTTCCGCCTCCACTGTGCCTTTCTCCAGCCCTTAGCCGGGGTATATTGGCTATATACCACAAACCCCAGAGGTGCCTTATTGCTATTATAAACTGGTTACCATCGCATTGTATCGTGCTTAAGAACAGCCCTTGGCCGTGGTATATTGGCCATATACCACACCTCCTCTGGCCTTATTGCTTAATTATATACCTCTAACCTTCTGTGTTGTTACCCTGTTCCCAGGTGGAGCTGCATCTGAAGCCCATCCAGTCCCTACTGGTTCACCAGAAGCCCCTGGTGTTCGTGCTAAACTCCCCCCAGCCTGTGGCCTGGGACATCAGGACAGAGAAACTAGCCCTAGGCATTAGACACACCTTCCATGTGAGTCCAGCTCCAACTAATTCCCCTTCCAATCTCTCTCTGTCTCTCTCTGTCTGTCTGTCTGTCTGTCTGTCTGTCTGTCTGTCTGTCTGTCTGTCTGTCTGTCTGTCTGTCTGTCTGTCTGTCTGTCTGTCTGTCTGTCTGTCTGTCTGTCTGTCTGTCTGTCTGTGTCTGCCTGTCTGTCTGTCTGTCTGTCTGTCTGTTTCTCTCTCTCTCTCTCTTTGTCTTTCTGTCTGTCTGTCTCTGTCTCTCTCCACAAAGTCCCTTTCCAATGTCTCTCTCTTACTCCACTTACTCCACTTGTCTTTCATACTCCCATTTCATTCATACCATTCTTTATTAACATTCAGGCGTGAGACGTTTAGAAACCAATCCTTTTGCAGAGGAAACCTGTGCTATGTTACGGTCTAAACTAGAAGAGCTTTCAGCTATTGTTTACAGATTAATCATGATAGCATACAGTCTGTGGACAACAACAACCAAACATGCACACATGCACCCCACACATACACACACCCACATGCACACACGCACAGGCACACACACAGACACTCACACAGACACGCACCCTCCCACATTTCCTGTGGTGAGACATTAATGTCTGTATGGCAGTAGTTAGTGTGTAATGTGCAGCAGTGGTTTACCCATGGGTACAGGCTCTTCTTTACACTGTGCAGACACTCACACCTTCCACATCCTCTCACTGTAAACTCTAATAATCAGTGACAAAACTATACCACTTTGATGACTAACGCACCACTGCTTTAGGACATCGTTGCTATCAACCCTCAAGTGATAAGAGGACTCTGGTTTATATGCCAAATGATGGGATATAGGTTGGCATGTACTTTATGCTTAGCCTGGTCCCAGATCTGTTTGTGCTGTTTGCCAACTGCTATGGTCATGGTCACACCAGGGTCGGTGAACTCGGTTGGCACTGGAGTCCCTAACAACATTATTGTTTTCCAGTCTGGCTGGTAAACCCTCCCTCCCCTTCGCTTCATGAAAACACTCACACATACCTTATAGTGGGGCACATGAAGGGGAGGGGAACCTGGTGGTTTCTAGGAGCAGTGGGAGGCAGCAAACCCCAGCAGCTCCCCTGGACAGCTAGCCATATTTAGGAAGGAGACCAGAGGGCCTGCATGGTCTCTCTGTCTCTCTCTCTCGCTCGCTGTGAGACTTAATGAGAAAATTAAAATGGACTGGCCCAGATCTCCAGGCTGAGGCTAAGCCACCGTATCACATGAGAAAATCAGAGAGAAATGAGCGCAACAGGCCTAAATGGTTTAACTCAACCATGCTGCTCTACACTGTAAGCCTGGATGGATCTGTACACTCCTCTACACCTACCTTTCCATATATGCTGTGTAGACTTTCATGTAGCTTGCGGTTCTTCTGAAATAACCATTGTCAAATGTGAGTTAACACCATAGCATTCTGCAAGAATGCGTTAATAATACTCCATATTATTTCCATATGTGGTGGTGATGTGTTCTCATTGCATGCAAAACATCCTACCATGAAAACCAGAGCCCATACAATGTTTAACACAGATGCATGCACACATCCACATAAATGCACACACGCACGCACGCATTCATACACGAACACACACACAGACACACACACACTCATTGACGCACACCACGCACGCACATACACACACACATTCACAAACACACACACAGGGTCTTTCAAAAATATATATTAAGCCATCTTTATTTTGATCACTGAGAGAGCTGAGCTTCAGCAATAAACCCACAACCCTACATTCTTTACGGCTAAAACATTTTACATTTATAACAGATATAGCTAATAAATTAAATCTGTCTCCTAGCCCAAATTCATTCTCTCAGAAAGAGAGGCTTAGCCTGAAATCCGACCTTTGGCAGTGAAAAGACCTTGGTCTCCTCCGGCAACGAGAAGAGTGAGATCTCCGTCATCACCTCTGTGTTGAGTGGGATTACTGTGGTCATGTGAAGCTTTCTAGCTGACGTGCTAATATCCATCCACTTTTCCATTGTGATGCTTTGAGCAGAGAAACCATTATATAGCCATATTACAGACCAGACCTTGGTTCAAACACTATTTGAAATAATTTAAAATACATCAGCTGGGCTTGATTGAGTTTGCCTGGCGCAATGGAACCAATAGAATAGTTGCAAAAGTGAAAACCCTTCCCATCTGTCACATCCAGGCAGGCAAAAGCAAATGCTAAAATATTTGAAATATTTGAAATAGTATTTGAACCCAGGTCTACAACAGACCCATCTGTCTTAACCACAGACTCAGGTTTCACTCTGACACCCCTAGTGAGTACATCACACAGCATAACAACCTACATACCAGGCTCCCTTTTTAATTTAGTTATTTCCTGTACTAAGTGGAAATATTTCCATGTCAGATTGAACAAATTGACGTAGTTTATTCAGATGAATGTGCATCCAGGCTGCTTATGTTTTTAGAGATGTAAGCAGTAATTCTACATGCCGTTAGAGCCAGGGAGCCATTAGCAGGTGAACAGTGTAGTAAATGTCTCCTCATCAGACATAACAGCTGACAACAGTCATGAAGCCATGAAGCCCAGCCCACAGCCTACAGTACAGTACTAGGCCTTATGCTGTAGTGTATCTAATGTTGTTAGACATGGGATCTGACATGGGACCCTGTGCCTGCTTTCCCACTGTGAAGAGGGAAGGGATTCCTCCCTGGTGACAGTTTTAGTGTTCAGGGATACTTGAATGTACCCTCATAAGGTTTACAGTATCATATATACACATAAACATACTTAAGATTTTTCATGTAAATAGTTTATGTGAGATTGTCTTTATGGCCCTGGCAAGCTACACATACAGTGGGGGAAAAAAGTATTTAGTCAGCCACCAATTGTGCAAGTTCTCCCACTTAAAACGATGAGAGAGGCCTGTAATTTTCATCATAGGTACATGTCAACTATGACAGACAAAATGAGAAAAGAATATCCAGAAAATCACATTGTAGGATTTTTAATGAATTTATTTGCAAATTATGGTGGAAAATAAGTATTTGGTCAATAACAAAAGTTTCTCAATACTTTGTTATATACCCTTTGACACAGGTCAAACGTTTTCTGTAAGTCTTCACAAGGTTTTCACACACTGTTGCTGGTATTTTGGCCCATTCCTCCATGCAGATCTCCTCTAGAGCAGTGATGTTTTGGGGCTGTCGCTGGGCAACACGGACTTTCAACTCCCTCCAAAGATTTTCTATGGGGTTGAGATCTGGAGACTGGCTAGGCCACTCCAGGACCCGTGAAATGCTTCTTACGAAGCCACTCCTTCGTTGCCCGGGCAGTGTGTTTGGGATCATTGTCATGCTGAAAGACCCAGCCACGTTTCATCTTCAATGCCCTTGCTGATGGAAGGAGGTTTTCACTCAAAATCTCACGATACATGGCCCCATTCATTCTTTCCTTTACACGGATCAGTCGTCCTGGTCCCTTTGCAGAAAAACAGCCCCAAAGCATGATGTTTCCACCCCCATGCTTCACAGTAGGTATGGTGTTCTTTGGATGCAACTCAGCATTCTTTGTCCTCCAAACACGACGAGTTGAGTTTTTACCAAAAAGTTATATTTTGGTTTCATCTGACCATATGACATTCTCCCAATCCTCTTCTGGATCATCCAAATGCACTCTAGCAAACTTCAGACGGGCCTGGACATGTACTGGCTTAAGCAGGGGGACACGTCTGGCACTGCAGGATTTGAGTCCCTGGCGGCGTAGTGTGTTACTGATGGTAGGCTTTGTTACTTTGGTCCCAGCTCTCTGCAGGTCATTCACTAGGTCCCCCGTGTGGTTCTGGGATTTTTGCTCACCGTTCTTGTGATCATTTTGACCCCACGGGGTGAGATCTTGCATGGAGCCCCAGATCGAGGGAGATTATCAGTGGTCTTTTATGTCTTCCATTTCCTAATAATTGCTCCCACAGTTGATTTCTTCAAACCAAGCTGCTTACCTATTGCAGATTCAGTCTTCCCAGCCTGGTGCAGGTCTACAATTTTGTTTCTGGTGTCCTTTGACAGCTCTTTGGTCTTGGCCATAGTGGAGTTTGGAGTGTGACTGTTTGAGGTTGTGGACAGGTGTCTTTTATACTGATAACAAGTTCAAACAGGTGCCATTAATACAGGTAACGAGTGGAGGACAGAGGAGCCTCTTAAAGAAGAAGTTACAGGTCTGTGAGAGCCAGAAATCTTGCTTGTTTGATTTTCTTTTCTCAATTTGTCTGTCATAGTTGACATGTACCTATGATGAAAATTACAGGCCTCTCTCATCTTTTTAAGTGGGAGAACTTGCACAATTGGTGGCTGACTAAATACTTTTTTCCTCCACTGTATACACGTGAGTCCTATGAGTTATATGTGAGTCCTATTGAGACACATTCACTCTAACAGTGAAGTGACTGTACCAGATTAGCTGTCTGTGTGTGGAGTGCCACTCCGGTCCTTAATTATGGCAAAGTAAGGTAAGGAGGAGGAGGAGGAGGAGAAGAAAGACACAGCCTTACAGCCCCATCACATCGCATGCAGCCAGATCTCCCCTGCTTAAAGCACCATCCTCATGACTAGAGCCACACTTGCCTCAACATACTCTCACTGGTCTGTCTGTCTGTCTGACACAAACACTATGACACTGTGAGGGCTGAGCTAGTGGAGTCAGACAGTGCCAAGTCCAGCTAGCAGCTTCCAGAGAGTTGGAGAGAAGGTGCTGTGTGGTGGATATATAGGGTAACAGAGTCAATAGTAACGGTTTGTAGGTCTTAACACCTCGACCTAGACCTCCTCTACGCTGTTCCCCCATTAGAGAGCCTGTTTCCTGGGGCTAATGGGCCCTGTATCAGCCCTGCTACACGCACTCGCGCACACACACACACACACACACACACACACACACACACACACACACACACACACACACACACACACACACACACACACACACACACACACACACACACACACACACACACACACACACACACACTTGATCAGCCCTGAATCAGCTCTGCCAAGGCCTCGTTTACTGGTCCCCCATTCTAAGGTCCACAGACAGACACAGATGGGCCCTGGAACCGTTTGAGTTTAGCCCTGCTCTGCCTGGTAAACACACTGTTGCTGTTGGCCCGCTGGAACCTCCTGCCTCCAGCCTTTTAAAATCCTCCTCGGCCCGAAATTCAAATGTAAAACATGCTCCGCAACACTCCCTGTCAATCAGAAGTACTGAGTAATGAAAGAACACCAAGTCTAACATGAAATAAAAGATGGACACAGCAAATCAAGCCAATGTAATTTCACCAGGGGACAATTACGATCCGAAAGAGGCATGTTTTCATGTCTTTAGGAAAGTTGGCTCTATGACTTTGAGTCTGTCTCAAATGGCACCCTATTCCCTATGTAGTGCACTACTTTTAATCAGGGCCCATAGTGAAAAAGGATGCGTCCTGTATTGCATATGGTGTTATCGTGCCTCTTTGTTTGACTAGTTTGATCTGAAACACATCTCTGTTCTCTCTGGCCTTTTAATGGAGCAACATTGTAAAGTTTAGCTGTTGGAATGTGTTACTCTTTCTGTGTTTGCCAAGTCTTTCTCGTTTTCACTCTCTTTTCTTTATTTTATTATATTATCAATTTCTCCTTTTTGTGTCTCTTTCTATCCTTCTTTCTCTCTCGCTCCCCCCTCTCTCTCTCTTTACCCCCTCTTTCTCTCTCGCTCTTTCACTCTCTCGCTCTCTCTCTGTCTCTGTCTGTCTCTCTCGCTCTCTCTTTGTCTCGCTCTCTCTCTCTCTCGCTCTCTCTCTCTCGCTCTCTCTCTCTCTCTGTCAATTAAATAAAATTCAAAGGGCTTTATTGGCATGGGAAACATATGTTTACATTGCCAAAGCAAGTGAAATAGATAATAAACAAAAGTGAAATAAACAATCAAAAATGAACAGTAAACATTACACTCACAAGTTTCAAAGGAATAGACACATTTCAAATGTCATATTATGGCTATGTACAGTGTTATAATGATGTGCAAATCTCGCTCTCTTTCTTTTTTTCTCTCTGTCTTGTTCTCTCTCTCTCTCTCTCTCTCTCTCTCTCTCTCTCTCTCTCTCTCTCTCTCTCTCTCTCTCTCTCTCTCTCTCTCTCCTCTCTCTCTCTCTCTCTCTCTCTCTCTCTCTCGTTCTATGTGGTTGTTAATTGGAACCATGGCCAGCCCAATATTGGCTTTGGTGCAGAGACAGATGGTGTTGTGTTCTACACAACAGCTCTCCCTGCCAGTTCTCTCACACACACACACACACACACACACACACACACACACACACACACACACACACACACACACACCACATGCCATAAGCTTGATTAGCTATCTGGAGCCAGTCTAGAGAGAGCAGATAAAATCACCCACAAAAGCATTTATCGCATTTACATCATCACTGCTTTTAGAGCATGCTCTTATTATCTCCCATTCTCTCTCTCTCTCTCTCTCTCTCTCTCTCTCTCTCTCTCTCTCTCTCTCTCTCTCTCTCGCTCTCTCTCTCGCTCTCTCTCTCTCGCTCTCTCGCTCTCTCTCTGTGTGTCTCTGAGGCCTCTCTGTTTGAAACACCTCATCTTCTCCAAACAGACATGGTGTTTTCTCAGGCTGTGCTTTACTGTTGCTTAGTGTTTCTTAGCAAGCAGGATTGCAACACTCTGATAATTAATATAAAACATTTGGCATGGCGTCTCTCCTCTCCCCTCACCCCGACTGGCACATATGGCAGTAATATGTAGACGCACACACACAGGCAGAGAGGCCAGGAAACCAACCACAGGCAAATATGCTTTTAAAACGCCACAGACCATGAAGGGTACTGGGCAGCATGCACATGTTATTGTTGGGTTTTATACTTTGCGAAGAGAAGGAAGGGACCAATCTTACAGTAAGGAGGCTTAGCTCTCTATGGCTGTTAGGTAGACTTCAGTAGATTGTCGACAAATCTCTTTGAAAGTATGGGTCATATTTAATTATGTCACATTGCATGTTCTACTGAACAGTTGAGGCTGACAAATGGCAAAGTTGAAGTTGCTTTTTCAACAGATATGACCCTTCTAATTGTGTTATACCCATGGAAATTAGGCTAGCCCGCTTGCCCGAAGCTAGTATTTTTCAGATTGGGCTTGTAGAAAATGTGCCAGACTAGAGTTCCATCCCTGGATATTCTCAAGTACCCTTATATTTGGCTTTGAACTGCTCAAGAACACCTCATTGGAGATTAGCTCCATGCTCAGTTAGGTAGAATGAGGTAAACTTTTGGCTTTGCAAAGTTCCATGGATCTCACCTCTGAGTGCAGACCTGAGCTGATTCCAGATAGACAGACAGAAAGAGCCCAGACAGACAGACAGGCCGTACTTGGATGCGTTAGCTATGAGGTCATATGATGCAGCGAGCCCAGGACTAATCTAGTCTGTCTGTCTGGGTCTGTTTGTGAGCAGAGGACATATAAACAACACTGATTTATGTGTTCAGGGATAAGGCCCTTTCTCTCTCTACACGTTTAGTCATGTCCCCCTCTTCTCTTCTCAGGGAGAACGGGGTGATAAGAAGCTCAAGACAATGAGTAGCGTACATGCTATGACAGTAGGGACAATGAAAGGGACAAAAATGAATGTTCTGTGTATTGTATAAATCATTGAGTTAATCGTCCCATTGTGTCAGTCATTGATGTCTATGCATATAGCATTACTTTGACGTCTTTGCATATAGCACTACGTTGAAGTATTGTTAATACTCTGGGAGTGGAACAATTAAGAATAGCAATGCTTTGAAATGATATCATTTTCAAGCAGTTCTCTTGCAAGTGCTGGATTTACACTTTGTGTTCATGTAAAAGTGGATACTAGTGGGAATTACTTCAAACTTTCAAGTCTTTGATAAAAACGTTACTCATATATTTCGTTTATTACAAATTTTTCTCAAGCCCTCCTCTCTCTCTCTCTCTCTCTCTCTCTCTCTCGCTCTATTTTTCTCTCTCTCTCTCTCCCTCAGCTAACTGGTCGAGCCCAAGAGTGGGTCTCTCTGAGTCTCTTCTTTCATATTCCCATTTCATATTCTTGAGGTTCAAATCACCCTGGAAAGGCCTAGAGCTAATTTGGGTTTTCAGGCTTCCCCCTCTAATTATTTCAGACTAATTACAGTCATATTGCCACAATTAAATTGATCAACTTTGCTGAGCTTGCAAGGTTTCCCAAAGTAAACCCCAACCCCTTCCTCCTCCTCCACTTCCTCTTCCTCATCCTCATCCTCTTCCTCCTTCCCTCTCTTTGCTCAGTGCTCCTCCACGGCTCTATATCGCATTTGATAGCTTAAGTGAGGCAGTCAGGCAAAGGCATGGCACTCCATCTTTCTCCACTAAAGTTTTCCTTTCCTTCCTGCCGTAGTCGTAGTAAACGTTATCGCTAAAAATAAATATCTACGTAGCGGTGAATTCTTCGACAGTGTCTGTCTCCCTGGTCTTGGCATTTATTATCTGTCGTGACAATGCCAGGAACATAGAGAGGAGAGGCCAGGGGTCAGGCAGATGTTGCACATGGTGTTGGCTAGAGTGTGTGTGTGCGTGTGTGTGTGTGTGTTCGGGGGGAATGGAGAACCTCTCTGTCTGGAGCTCCAAATACTCAACAGAGATAATGTGACTAATTTTCACACAAACAAACGGACACTATGATCTGGAAAACGAACCAACGTTGCAGTAGATTCTTGTGTTTTGCTTTCCTCTATCCCCTCTTTGGAAAATTCATACTACCCAAAATATGGGGAAGGCAACAAAATATGAATGATCCTATATGTCCTCCTACGCTTTAGTGAAAAGGTCCATACGGCACTACGCTCTATCAGTTTAGTGTTATGAGTTAATGTTTTAATTGGGCCTACCAGGCAGCACGCTGTCAGCTGCCGCCCCACTTTAGATAGGAGTTGTGTCCTTGGGAATAAGAAAATAAAACAGGAAATATAATGAGGTCGGCTATCTACACCAGACTGTGTGTTGGGGCTGCCTGGCTGGCCTGGGATGCTCAGCTCTGCTCACAATTGTACTACAGTCAGTAGTAGGTTTTTCAGCGCATGTGAATGTTTATCCCTCTGAATGAAGCATATGGGTCGAGGTCCATTAAGAACCAACGGGGTGGTCTCTCTCTATCTCACTCTCTCTCTCTCCCTCTTTCTCATTCTCTCTCTCTCTGCTCTTTGTTCCATGCACGCACACACACACACACTCACACACGCCAAGCTCAGACTAGTTTCTCTCTTTCCCTCCATCCCTCCCTCCATCCCTCCCTCCATCCCTTCCTGCCAGAAGACAAACCAGCACTTCATTGTGGGCTTGGGGCTCCGCACACATTTTCTACTAATTTTCTTCTTCTTTTTTTCACTCTGCATATTACAGCTGGGTTTTGTGCTCTCACACTTTTTTACCTACCTAGGCTTAGGCTGCGTCCCATTGTATCACCCCACTCTCAGCCAGCTCGCATATGGCAAAATTATATACTTTTAGATGATCCCCAATGGCAACTCCAAACAAACATACTGCACTGATAAAAGTTGTCTCTTTCTTTTGTACTTCTGAGTTATTTGTGAGAGTGTGTGTGTGTGTGTGTGTGTGTGAGAGCACGCATAAACAGACACGCACATCTTGCATATGTGTTTCCTATGATGAAGACAGATAAGAGTTTGTGTATATGCAATCACGTGCGTGTGTGTATCTGCTAGCTACATTCATGACAGACAGCTCCATACTGCTCTAGCTGTGTGCTGCCATTTTGAAAAACCCCTGCACACTGTGATTACGCACAATAAAGGTTATATAAACAGTAGAAACCAGACACCTTATTGTGTAAGGGGACCTTGTGTGAAAATAAGGAGAGGACATTGCGAGAGGCCTTAAAATAATACATGGGGATGGAACTCCATGAGCCCAATAGAAAATACAGCTTCTTAACAGTAAATCACAGCTACCTTTTTGTAGTTTACCATTTTATATCCTCAGTAACTCTACATGTATTTCCTTCAATTGCTGAAATGTGTCACGATCGTCGGGTACAGAGGACCAAGGCGCAGCGTGGAAGGTGAACATATTTTATTAACTAGAATGAAAAACACGAACAAAACAACAAACGATAACGTGACGTCCAAAGGTGCAAAACACAAACCTATACAGGAACAAGATCCCACAAACACTGTGGGAAAACTGGCTGCTTAAGTATGGGTCCCAATCAGAGACAACAAGCAACAGCTGATACACGTTGCCTCTGATTGAGAACCACACTGGCCAACATAGAAATACTAAACTAGAACGAAAACAAATGAAAACTCACACCCTGGCTCAACATACTAGAGTCCCCAGAGCCAGGGCGTGACAGTACCCCCCCCCCCCCAAAGGCGCGGACTCCGACCGCGCCAACCAAACACCACAGGGGAGGGACCGGGTGGGCACTCCGCCTTGGCGGCGGATCCGGCTCCGGGCATGATCCCCACTCCCTCTCTAACCCCCCAAAGTACCCCTGGTCCGGTCTGGCCCTGCTGACCGGAGCTGGACTGCACACTGGTGGAGCGGATTGCTCTAGCTCCGGCGTGAAGCAGCTGACCCGTGCCGAACCAGGCACCGGTGGAACAGGCACGGGCTGTGCCGGACTGACGACGCACACCACTGGCTTGGTGTGGGGAGCAGGAACGGGCCGAGCCGGGCTGACGAAACGCACCCCTGACTTGGTGCGGGGAGCAGGAGCGGGCCGGACCGGGCTGACGAAGCGCACCACTGACTTGGTGCGGGGAGCAGGAACGGGCCGGACCGGGCTGACGAAGCGCACCACTGACTTGGTGCGGGGAGCAGGAGCGGGCCGGACCGGGCTGACGAAGCACACCACTGACTTGGTGCGGGGGGCAGGAGCGGGTCGAACCGGGCTGACGATGCGCACCATAGGCTTGGTGCGTGGAGCAGGAACAGGCCGGGCCGGGCTGACGACGCGCACCACAGGCTCGATGCGAGGAACAGGAACAGGCCGGACCATACCGGGAACACACACCACTGGCCCTACGCAGGGATCAGGAACGGGCCGGACCGGACTGGTAACACACCCCAGTACCTCTCGCCGTGCCTCTACACTTTCCCTCTCCTCTGTGACCAGTGGCCCCCTTAACCTGGCAGCCTCCTCTGCAAACCCGCTGGACCGCTCTATCGCGGCCTCCTGCTGCCCCGTCGTCCACGGCGTGAGCCCCCCCCCTCACATTTTTCTGGGGGTCTCTCCTCACCGTGGGCCAGGCCCAGTCGAGGTTGATGTCCTTTAGCGATACCTCTGGCGCTGGCTCCTGGACACGCTGCTTGGTCCAGTGTTGGTGGGATCTTCTGTCACGATCGTCGGGTACAGAGGACCAAGGCGCAGCGTGGAAGGTGAACATATTTTATTAACTAGAATGAAAAACACGAACAAAACAACAAACGATAACGTGACGTCCAAAGGTGCAAAACACAAACCTATACAGGAACAAGATCCCACAAACACTGTGGGAAAACTGGCTGCTTAAGTATGGGTCCCAATCAGAGACAACAAGCAACAGCTGATACACGTTGCCTCTGGTTGAGAACCACACTGGCCAACATAGAAATACTAAACTAGAACGAAAACAAATGAAAACTCACACCCTGGCTCAACATACTAGAGTCCCCAGAGCCAGGGCGTGACAAAATGGAGACTGCTAAAAGTAATCCAAAGTTATTTCATGTAGATTAGACTATCAAAAATCATCCCTATGATATTAAATCAATGCTTATTAATATGTATATACAGTACCAGTCAAAAGTTTGAACACACCTACTCATTCCAGGGTTTTTCTTTATTTTTACTATTTTCTACATTGTAGAATAATAGTGAAGACATCAAACTATGAAATAACACATATGGAATCATGTAGTAACCAAAAAAGTGTTAAACAAATCAAAATATATTTTATATTTGAGATTCTTCAAATAGCCACCCTTTGCCTTGATGACAGCTTTGCACACTCTTGGCATTCTCTCAACCAGCTTCATGAGGTAGTCACCTGGAATGCATTTCAATTAACAGTTGTGCCTTCTTAAAAGTTAATTTGTGGAATTTCTTTCCTTCTTAATGCGTTTGAGCCAATCAGTTGTGTTGTGACAAGGTAGGGGGGGTATACAGAAGATGGCCCTATTTGGTAAAAGACCAAGTCCATATTATGCAAGAACAGCTCAAATAAGCAAAGAGAAACGACAGTCCATCATTACTTTAAGACATGAAGGCTAGTCAATATGGAAAATGTCAAGAACTTTGAAAGTTTCTTCAAGTGCAGTCGCAAAAACCATCAAGCGCTATGATGAAACTGGCTCTCATGAAGACCGCCACAGGAATGGAAGACCCAGAGTTACCTCTGCTGCAGAGGATAAGTTCATTAGAGTTACCAGCCTCAGAAATTGCAGCCCACCAAATAAATGCTTCTCTGTCAGGGGTGCTGAAGGTGGGTGTGGTGCAGGAATCAAGCGCAGGACGCAGAAGCTAAGTCCAAAAGACTTTAGTGAGTTATTCACGTAGTACACGAGAACAATAAGCCCGGAGGCGAAATAAAGGCGCACACAGGCGTCAAACAAAAGGCGCACTAACATGTGCGAAAACCTCTCCAAACAACGGAGGGAAGATACGTAGCTCAGAACACCAAACAGAGGAGCAATCACACACAACACCATACACACACAACGAGAACTAAATAGGACACTAATGAGGACTAACTAGACACAGGTGTACAACATCAAGACAAAACCAAACGAACATGAAACATAGATCGGTGGCAGCTAGTACTCCGGGGACGACGACCGCCGAAACCTGCCCGAACAAGGAGGAGGAGCAGCCTCGGCCGAAACCGTGACATTCACAGAGTTCAAGTAACAGACACATCTCAACATCAACTGTTCAGAGGGGACTGTGTGAATCAGGCCTTCATGGTCGAATTGCTGCAAAGAAACCACTACTAAAGGACACCAATAAGAAGAAGAGACTTGCTTGGGCCAAGAAACACGAGCAATGGACATTAGACCGGTGGAAATTTGTCCTTTGGTCTGGAGTCCAAATTGAAGATTTTTGGTTCCAACCACTGTGTCTTTGTGAGACGCAGTGTGGGTGAACGGATGATATCCGCATGTGTGTATTTCCCACCGTAAAGCATGGAGGAGGAGGTGTTATGGTGTGGGGGTGCTTTGCTGGTGACACTGTCTGTGATTTATTTAGAATTCAAGGAACACTTAACCAGCATGGCTACCACAGCATTCTGTTTTGGGCTTAGTGAGACTATCATTTGTTTTTCAACAGGACAATGACCCAACACACCTCCAGGCTGTGTAAGGGCTATTTTACCAAGAAGGAGAGTGATGGAGTGCTGCATCAGATGACCTGGCCTCCACAATCCCCCGACCTCAACCCAATTGAGATGATTTGGGATGAGTCGGACTGCAGAGTGAAGGAAAAGCAGCCAACAAGTGCTCAGCATATCTGGGAACTCCTTCAAGACTGTTGGAAAAGCATTCCAGGTGAAGCTGGTTGAGAGAATGCCAAGAGTGTGCAAATCTGTTATCAAGGCAAAGGGTGGCTATTTGAAGAATCTCAAATATAAAATATATTTTGATTTGTTTAACACTTTTTTGGTTACTACATGATTCCATATGTGTTATTTCATAGTTTTGATGTCTTTACTATTATTCTACAATATATAAAATAGTAAAAATAAAGAAAAACTCTTGAATGAGTAGGTGTTCTAAAACATTTGACCGGTAGTGTGTATATTTGCAAAAAAAAAATATGGGGGATTGGAAATGATGCAGACAATTTCATTGATTGAAGTTACGATCTATATGCAATATTAAAGCTGATCTACCCCTTAAAAAAATATATTAAAAAAAAATGCTTATTGCTCTCTGCACTAGATATACCGATACTGTAAATCCCCACACCTTATTATTGTTCCCATGGTCTCTCTGTGTTTCTTCACCCTAGGTCCATAATGCTTTAGGTAGTTTCTTAGCGCCAGTTTCCCACACACTGATTAAGCCTTAGTCTCTCCAGACATCTGGGTTGCCTCCCACAATTTTCAAACGTTCCGGCTAGGGTCGGGTTTTCGAGACTAATTAAGCCTAGTCCTAGACAAAAAATAATTTCCAATGGAGATTCTCCATTGAGCTTGCTTTTTAGTCCAGGACTAGGCTTTATCTGTGGCTGGGAAACCAGCCCATAGTGTCATACAGAAACCTACTGTTTCACAATCATTCTGTGGAATCCCTACCTTCAGCTCTTTTCTCTCACAGGCAAAGTGATGTCCCTCTGTGGCTCCTGTAGCCAGCCCTGAGACAAGGCTGTAGAATCCTATAATTGACTATGAGTCTTATTACACCTACTGTAATGCCATAGCAGCCTACAGCCATGTCTCAGGGCTATGTCTCCTGATGTACAGTGTCTGTCTGTAACATCATTGTTTCTCTCCATCTTCCAGCTATCAGAGACCTCAGAGGTCCACTTCTCTGTGTCTTGTGTAGCGCTGATACATGGCTGTAGACTCCTGCAGTATAACTCCTAACACACTACAGCCATGTCCCAGGGCTATGTGTCTTGATGAACAGTGTCTGTCTGTAAAGCCGTGGTATCTCTCTTACTGACTGTCTGTAACATTGTTGTATCTCTCCTTTCTCCAGGTATCTGTGGGATCTGATGTCCACTTCCCTCCAGGGAACTTCTCTCTCCACTGTCATGTTCCGAAGGAGGTACTTCCCCATGGCAACGAGCACCTCCTCAACTGGGCCACCAAGAAGTACAGAGCCGTTACCTCCTTCTCCGAACTCAAGATTGCCCTGGACATCTACATCAAAGTGGGAGAAGGTGTGTTTTACTGTCAGAGGGAAGTTAAAACTGTTGCTCCAAAGGACAGTTTAAAAGAAGGTGCTACCTTTGGCTGTCCTTTCTGTAGGAGAACCATTGGTTTCACACATCATACAACCATACATCAAAGTGGGAGAAGGTGTGTTTCACTCTAAGAGGCAGGTTAGAAACGTTACCTCAGTTCCAAGGCAGACCACATTCTCGTTTAGAATGCCTGGGGAGACTTTTACACCTACTTCCACTAACTGTATATTTTATTTGCCGAATGACAGGCCTTTTCTTCCCCACTAAACCTTAATTAAGGGGTTCCTACTCAGTAATTCATTCTCAATGGAGGCCATTGACAGTCCTGGGAGTTACTGGACCCTAGAGTGGCAGAGTGAACACTCTCTGTGTTCGGACTTCTCAGTTCCACTGGCCAGCTTTCAGTTGCACATAGACTTGGCCGGGAGGAAAGGACTTTGTACTCTTTTCTTTCTTTTGTAATCTGTCCGCTTGCTTTCCTTGCTTGTCACTTTTCTTATTTGACCATGAGCCCAAAGTCAGTGGAGTGAGGAAGAATTGACTAATGGAAATGCGTAGTAGGTTTGTGAGGGATTGCTGCTCTGATTGCTAGCTTGTGTGTGGGCCTGCTGCCAGACTTGAGGCCTGACAGACTAGTCCTGTGCACTATGAGAAAAAGAGGGGAGTGGCAGAGAGAGGGAAACAAGAAGAAAAAAAGAGGTGAGATGGAGTTGTACCGAAGTTGACGAAACAAGAAGAAAATCTGTAGACTGAAGAGATCAGACATGGGACTGTTTCTTGCTATTCAAGTCTTCCAGCAGGTTTAGGCAAATATAATGCCTTGCAAAAGTATTCATCCCCCTTGGCGTTTTTCCTATTTTGTTGCATTACAACCTGTAATTTAAATAGATTTTTATTTGGATTTCATGTAATGGACATACACAAAATAGTCCAAATTGGTGAAGTTGAATGAAAAAAATAACTTGTTTCAAAAATTCCAAAAAATAGATAATGGAAAAGTGGTGCGTGCATATGTACATTTTACATTTTAGTCATTTAGCAGACGCTCTTATCCAGAGCGACTTACAGTTAGTGAGTGCATACATTTAAAATAAAATAAAAAATTACATTAAATATGTATTCACCCCCTTTGCTATGAAGCCCCTAAATAAGATCTGGTGCAACCAATTACCTTCAGAAGTCATATAATTAGTTAGATTGCACACAGGTGGACTTTATTTAAGTGTCACATGATCTGTCACATGATCTCAGTAAATATACACCTGTTCTGAAAGGCCCCAGAGTCTGCAACACCACTAAGCAAGGGGCACCACCAGGCAAGCGGCACCATGAAGACCAAGGAGCTCTCCAAACAGGTCAGGGACAAAGTTGTGGAGAAGTACAGATCAGGGTTGGGTTATAAAAAAATATCCGAAACTTTGAACATCCCACGGAGCACCATTAAATCCATTATTAAAAAATGGAAAGAATATGGCACCACAACAAACCTGCCAAGAGAGGGCTGCCCACCAAAACTCACGGACCAGGCAAGGAGGGCATTAATCAGAGAGGCAACAAAGAAACCAAAGATAACCCTGATGGAGCTGCAAAGCTCCGCAGCGGAGATTGGAGTATCTGTCTATAGGACCACTTTAAGCCGTACACTTCACAGAGCTGGGCTTTACGGAAGAGTGGCCAGAAAAAAGCCATTGCTTAAAGAAAAAAATAAGCAAACACGTTTGGTGTTCGCCAAAAGGCATGTGAGAGACTCCCCAAACATATGGAAGAAGGTACTCTGGTCAGATGAGAATAAAATTGAGCTTTTTGGCCATGAAGGAAAACGCTATGTCTGGTGCAAACCCAACACCTCTCATCACCCCCGAGAACGGCATGTTTTTCTTCGGCAGGGACTGGGAATCTGGTCAGAATTGAAGGAATGATGGATGGCGCTAAATACAGGGAAATTATTGAGGGAATAGTTATGCACGTTCAAGTTTTCTGTTTTTTTGTCTTATTTCTTGTTTGTTTCACAATAAAAATGATTTTGCATCTTCAAAGTGGTATGCATGTTGTATAAATCAAATGATACAAACCCCCAAAAAATCCATTTTAATTCCAGGTTGTAAGGCAACAAAATAGGAAAAATGCCAAGGGGGGTGAATACTTTCGCAAGTCACTTTACACAAGAGAGGGATCAATTTACGATATTCTCTCCTACTTAACTCCTCAAGCTGCTGTTAAGTAAGATGATAGGGGCCTTGCTCCTCAACTTGTGTCTATAGAAAGACCACTTCTGAGCAGCAAGGTTTGTAGTAAACTAAACTGTCGAAGGCATTAATGGGTTTAGGGAATGTGAGCTGTTCCTTGATAACTGTGAGCTGTAAGTGGAAAAAACTGTCAAGAGGTGTCTGAGCTAAAGCAGACAGTGGGGGCCTCATCTCCTCTCCTCTCCTCTCCTCTCCTCTCCTCTCCTCTCCTCTCCTCTCCTCTCCTCTCCTCTCCTCTCCTCTCCTCTCCTCTCCTCTCCTCTCCTCTCCACCAGTCAGTAGAGTTACTGTAGTAGGGAGGCTGGCTGTTGGAAGTCCAGGGCTCCTCCAGGGATGTTGTGTGATTGATCCATTGAAGCCATGCTTCACTTCTTCCTTTACTCTTTCACTCCCCACTGGTCCTTTGTAAACTGAACCGACAGCACGTTCAACTTCATCCTACATCAACATCCAGATAGTTAGGATACCTTTTAAAGACTATCTTTAACTGCAAGACAATAACACAGTTACTGCCAGGAGTGGAGGGGAGTAGTGGCTCCATTACACATTACAGCTGGGTTATGTCAAAATCAAATCAAATTGTATTGGTTACGTACACATATTTATCAAATCAAATCAAATCAAATTTTATTGGTCACATGCGCCGAATACAACAGGTGCAGACATTACAGTGAAATGCTTACTTACAGCCCTTAACCAACAGTGCATTTATTTTAAACAAAAAAAGTAAGAATAAAACAACAACAAAAAAAGTGTTGAGAAAAAAAGAGCAGAAGTAAAATAAAGTGACAGTAGGGAGGCTATATATACAGGCGGGTACCGTTGCAGAGTCAATGTGCGGGGGCACCGGCTAGTTGAGGTAGTTGAGGTAATATGTACATGTGGGTAGAGTTAAAGTGACTATGCATAAATACTTAACAGAGTAGCAGCAGCGTAAAAAGGATGGGGTGGGGGGGCAGTGCAAATAGTCCGGGTAGCCATGATTAGCTGTTCAGGAGTCTTATGGCTTGGGGTAGAAGCTGTTGAGAAGTCTTTTGGACCTAGACTTGGCACTCCGGTACCGCTTGCCGTGCGGTAGCAGAGAGAACAGTCTATGACTAGGGTGGCTGGAGTCTTTGACAATTTTGAGGGCCTTCCTCTGACACCGCCTGGTATAGAGGTCCTGGATGGCAGGAAGCTTTGCCCCAGTGATGTACTGGGCCGTACGCACTACCCTCTGTAGTGCCTTGCGGTCAGAGGCCAAGCAGTTGCCATACCAGGCGGTGATGCAACCAGTCAGGATGCTCTCGATGGTGCAGCTGTAGAATTTTTTGAGGATCTGAGGACCCATGCCAAATCTTTTTAGTCTCCTGAGGGGGAATAGGCTTTGTCGTGCCCTCTTCACGACTGTCTTGGTGTGTTTGGACCATGATAGTTCGTTGGTGATGTGGACACCAAGGAACTTGAAGCTCTCAACCTGTTCCACTACAGCCCCGTCGATGAGAATGGGGGCGTGCTCAGTCCTCTTTTTTTTCCTGTAGTCCACAATCATCTCCTTTGTCTTGGTCACGTTGAGGGAGAGGTTGTTGTCCTGGCACCACACGGCCAGATCTCTGACCTCCTCCCTATAGGCTGTCTCATCGTTGTCGGTGATCAGGCCTACCACTGTTGTGTCGTCGGCAAACTTAATGATGGTGTTGGAGTCGTGCCTGGCCATGCAGTCATGGGTGAACAGAGAGTACAGGAGGGGACTGAGCACGCACCCCTGAGGGGCCCCCGTGTTGAGGATCAGTGTGGCAGATGTGTTGTTACCTACCCTTACCACCTGGGGGCGGCCCGTCAGGAAGTCCAGGATCCAGTTGCAGAGGGAGGTGTTTAGTCCCAGGATCCTTAGCTTAGTGATGAGCTTAGAGGGCACTATGGTGTTGAATGCTGAGCTGTAGTCAATGAATAGCATTCTCACGTAGGTGTTCCTCTTGTCCAGGTGGGAAAGGGCAGTGTGGAGTGCGATAGAGATTGCATCATCTGTGGATCTGTTGGGGCGGTATGCAAATTGGAGTGGGTCTAGGGTTTCTGGGATTATGCTGTTGATGTGAGCCATGACCAGTCTTTCAAAGCACGTCAGTGCTACGGGTCGGTAGCACTTGCGGGTGTAGCGAAATGCTTGTGTTCCTAGCTCCAACAGTGCAGTAATATATAACAATTCACAACAATACACAAATCTAAAGGTAAAAGAATGGAGAAATATTAAGAAATATATTATAATATATTATATATTATATTATTATTATATATAATATTAGGACAAGTTTAAATATATGTATGTATATATATATATATATATATAATGTATATATGTATGTATATATATATATATATATATATATATATGTATATATATGTATATATATATGTGTGTGTACAGTACCTGTCAAAGGTTTGGACACACCTACTCATTCCAGGGTTTTTCTTTATTTTTACTATTTTCTACATTGTAGAATAATAGAGAAGACATCAAAATTATTAAAGTAACACATATGGAATCATGTAGTAACCAAAAAAGTGTTAAACAAATCAGAAGATAGCCCTATTTGGTAAAATACCTAGTCCATATTATGGCAAGAAAGCTCAAATAAGCAAAGAGAAATGACAGTCCATCATTACTTTACGACATAAAGGTCAGTCAATACGGAACATTTTAAGAACTTTGAAAGTTTCTTCAAGTGCAGTCGCAAAAACCATTAAGCGCTATGATGAAACTGGCTTACATGAGGACCGCCATAGGAATGGAAGACCCAGAGTTACCTCTGCTGCAGAGGATAAGTTCATTAGAGTTACCAGCCTCAGAAATTGCAGCCCAAATAAATGCTTCACAGAGTTCAAGTCACAGACACATCTCAACATCAACTGTTCAGAGGGGACTGTGTAAATCAGGCCTTCATGGTCGAATTGCTGCAAAGAAACCACTACTAAAGGACACCAATAATAAGAAGAGACGTGCTTGGGCCAAGAAACACGAGCAATGGACATTATACCGGTGGAAATTTGTCCTTTGGTCTGGAGTCCTAATTGGAGATTTTTGGTTCCAACCGCTTTGTCTTTGTGAGACGCGGTGTGGGTGAACGGATGATCTCTGCATGTGTAGTTCCCACCGTAAAGCATGGAGGAGGAGGTGTTATGGTGTGGGGGTGCTTTGCTGGTGACACTGTCTGTGATTTATTTAGAATTCAAGGCACACTTAACCAGCATGGGTACCACAGTATTGTGCGGTGATACGCCATCCCATCATGGTTTGGGCTGAGTGGGACTATCATTTGTTTTTCAAAAGGACAATGACCCAACACACCTCCAGGCTGTGTAAGGGCTATTTGACCAAGAAGGAGAGTGATGGAGTGCTGCATCAGATGACCTGATCTCCACAATCCCCCAACCTCAACCCAATTGAGATGATTTGAGATGAGTCGGACGGCAGAGTGAAGGAAAAGCAGCAAACAAGTGCTCAGCATATGTGGGAACTCCTTCATTTTACATTTACATTTTAGTCATTTAGCAGACGCTCTTATCCAGAGCGACTTACAGGAGCAATTAGGGTTAAGTGCCTTGCTCAAGGGCACATTTACGTCATTTAGCAGACGCTCTTATCCAGAGCGACTACAAATTGGTGCATTCACCCTATAGCCAGTGGGATAACCACTTTACAATTATACTTTTTTTTTTTTTTTGGGGGGGGGGGGGGGGGGGGGGGGGGGGTAGAAGGATTACTTTATCCTATCCCAGGTGTTCCTTAAAGAGGTGGGGTTTCAAATGTCTCCGGAAGGTGGTGAGTGACTCCGCTGTCCTGGCGTCGTGAGGGAGCTTGTTCCACCATTGGGGTGCCAGAGGAGCGAACAGCTTTGACTGGGCGAACAGCTTTGACTGGGCTGAGCGGGAACTATGCTTCCGCAGAGGAAGGGGAGCCAGCAGGCCAGAGGTGGATGAACGCAATGCCCTCGCCTGGGTGTAGGGACTGATCAGAGCCTGAAGGTACGGAGGTGCCGTTCCCCTCACTGCTCCATAGGCAAGCACCATGGTCTTGTAACGGATGCGAGCTTCAACTGGAAGCCAGTGGAGTGTGCGGAGGAGGGGGGTTACGTGAGAGAACTTGGGAAGGTTGAACACCAGACGGGCTGCGGCATTCTGGATGAGTTGTAGGGGTTTAATGGCACAGGCAGGGAGCCCAGCCAACAGCGAGTTGCAGTAATCCAGACGGGAGATGACAAGTGCCTGGATTAGGACCTGTGCCGCTTCCTGTGTAAGGCAGGGTCGTACTCTCCGAATGTTGTAGAGCATGAACCTGCAGGATCGGGTCACCGCCTTGATGTTGGCGGAGAACGACAGGGTGTTGTCCAGGGTCACGCCAAGGCTCTTCGCACTCTGGGAGGAGGACACAACGGAGTTGTCAACCGTGATGGCGAGATCATGGAACGGGCAGTCCTTCCCCGGGAGGAAGAGCAGCTCCGTCTTGCCAGGGTTCAGCTTGAGGTGGTGATCCGTCATCCATACTGATATGTCGGCCAGACATGCAGAGATGCGATTCGCCACCTGGTTATCAGAAGGGGGAAAGGAGAAGATTAGTTGTGTATCGTCAGCGTAGCAATGATAGGAGAGGCCATGTGAGGATATGACAGAGCCAAGTGACTTGGTGTATAGGGAGAAAAGGAGAGGGCCTAGAACTGAGCCCTGGGGGACACCAGTGGTGAGAGCACGTGGTGCGGAGACAGCTTCTCGCCACGCCACTTGGTAGGAGCGACCGGTCAGGTAGGACGCAATCCAGGAGTGAGCCGCGCCGGAGATGCCCAGCTCGGAGAGGGTGGAGAGGAGGATCTGATGGTTCACTGTATCAAAGGCAGCAGACAGGTCTAGAAGGACAAGAGCAGAGGAGAGAGAGTTAGCTTTAGCAGTGCGGAGAGCCTCCGTGACACAGAGAAGAGCAGTCTCAGTTGAATGACCAGTCCTGAAACCTGACTGGTTTGGATCAAGAAGGTCATTCTGAGAGAGATAGCAAGAGAGTTGGCTAAAGACGGCACGCTCAATAGTTTTGGAAAGAAAAGAAAGAAGGGATACTGGTCTGTAGTTGTTGACATCAGTGGGATCGAGTGTTGGTTTTTTGAGAAGGGGTGCAACTCTCGCTCTCTTGAAGACGGAAGGGACATGGCCAGCGGTCAAGGATGAGTTGATCAGCGAGGTGAGGTAGGGGAGAAGGTCACCGGAGATGGTCTGGAGAAGAGAGGAGGGGATGGGGTCAAGCGGGCAGGTTGTTGGGCGGCCTGCAGTCACTAGTCGCAAGATTTTATCTGGAGAGAGAGGGGAGAAAGAAGTCAAAGCATAGGGTAGGGCAGTGTGAGCAGGACCAGCAGTGTCATTAGACTTAACAAACGAGGATCGGATGTCGTCAACCTTCTTTTCAAAGTGGTTGACAAAGTCATCCACAGAGAGGGAGGAGGGGGGGGGGGGGGGGGGGGGGGGGGGGGGGGGGGGATTCAGCAGTGAGGAGAATGTGGCAAAGAGCTTCCTAGGGTTAGAGGCAGATGCTTGGAATTTAGAGTGGTAGAAAGTGGCCTTAGCAGCAGAAACAGATGAAGAAAATGTAGAGAGGAGGGAGTGAAAAGATGCCAGGTCGGCAGGGAGTTTAGTTTTCTTCCATTTCCGCTCAGCTGCCCGGAGCTCTGTTCTGTGAGCTCGCAATGAGTCATCAAGCCACAGAGCTGGAGGGGAGGACCGAGCCGGCCGGGAGGATAGGGGACACAGGGAGTCAAAGGATGCAGAAAGGGAGGAGAGGAGGGTTGAGGAGGCAGAATCAGGAGATTGGAGGGAGAAGGATTGAGCAGAGGGAAGAGATGATAGGATGGAAGAGGAGAGAGTAGTGGGAGAGAGAGAGCGAAGGTTGCGGCGGCGCGTTACCATCTGTGTAGGGGCAGAGTGAGTAGTGTTGGAGGAGAGCGAGAGAGAAAAGGATACAAAGTAGTGGTCGGAGACATGGAGGGGAGTTGCAATGAGATTAGTAGAAGAGCAACATCTAGTAAAGATGAAGTCAAGCGTATTGCCTGCCTTGTGAGTGGGGGGGGATGGTGAGAGGGTGAGGTCAAAAGAGGAGAGGAGTGGAAAGAAGGAGGCAGAGAGAAATGAGTCAAATGTAGACGTGGGGAGGTTGAAATCCCCCAAGACTGTGAAGGGTGAGCCATCCTCAGGAAAGGAACGTATCAAGGCGTCAAGCTCATTGATGAACTCTCCAAGGGAACCTGGAGGGCGATAGATGACAAGGATATTAAGCTTAAATGGGCTAGTGACTGTGACAGCGTGGAATTCAAATGAGGAGATAGACAGATGGGTTAGGGGAAAAATTGAGAATGACCACTTGGGAGAGATGAGGATTCCTGTGCCACCACCCCTCTGACCAGATGCTCTCGGGGTATGCGAGAACACATGGTCAGACGAGGAGAGAGCAGTAGGAGTAGCAGTGTTTTCAGTGGTAATCCATGTTTCCGTCAGTGCCAGGAAGTCGAGGGACTGGAGGGTGGCATAGGCTGGGATGAAGTCAGCCTTGTTGGCGGCAGAACGGCAGTTCCAGAGGCTGCCTGAGACCTGGAACTCCAGGTGTGTGGTGCGTGCAGGGACCACCAGGTTAGAGAGGCAGCAGCCACGCGGTGTGAGGCGTTTGTGTAGCCTGTGCGGAGAGGAGAGAACAGGGATAGGCAGAGGCATAGTTGACAGGCTGCAGCAGATGGCTACAATAATGCAGAGGAGATCGGGATGAAATGAACTAAACATCAGGGAAAGGAGAGAGCAGGCCTCCCTCACCAAAAAAAAAATATATATATAACTCTCCCAACTTCCACCTCAGAAACTATAATTGTTTCACTGAACCACCCGAGTAAAACTCTCCCAACTTCCACTTTAGAAATTAGAATTGTTGTAAACTACAGCAGACTGTTATCAGTAGCTGTAATTAAGTACAGCAGCTACCAACCACCTAACGTTAATGCCTCGGATGAGGTTAGAAAAACAGCTGAATGGTAGCAGCTAGCTGGCTCAATCACAGGTACTCCTAAGCATGAAATAACATTGGAAACAATTAACCATAGTTGCAAAAAGTTAAGCTACCCGCTAGCTAGCTAGCTTTGTTGGTCCAAGTAGTGGGTAGGCTAGCCTCGTGCTTCGCCGGAGTCCGCCGAATACAGTCCTTACCTACAATAATTACCTACAATAACCTTCAATAACTACCTGAGTAAGCTACCTATAATACCAAATTAATTATTATTAATACCAAATTAATTATTATTAATACTATATTAATACTATAATACCTTCAAGACTGTTGGAAAAGCATTCCAGGTGAAGCTGGTTGAGAGAATGCCAAGAGTGTACAAAACTGTCATCAAGGGTGGCTATTTGAAGAATCTCAAATATATAATATATTTGGATTTGTTTAACACTTTTTTGGTTACAACATGATTCCATATGTGTTATTTCATAGTTTTGATGTCTTGACTATTATTCTACAGTGTTTAAAATAGTAAAAATGAAGAAAAAGTATTGAATGAGTAGGTGTGTCCAAACATTTGACCGGTACTGTATATATATACAGCCATGAAGTCAAAGGATGTTGATGTCTTTGATGATCTTTTTGGCCTTCCTGTGACATTGGGTGCTGTAGGTGTCCTGGAGGGCAGGCAGTATGCCCCCGGTGATGCGTTAGGCAGACCGCACCACCCTCTGGAGAGCCCTGCGGTTGCGGGCGGTGCAGTTGCCGTACCAGGCGGTGATACAACCCGACAGGATGCTCTCAATGGCGCATCTGTAAAAGTTTGTGAGAGTCTTAGGGGTCAAGCCAAATTTATTCAGCCTCCTGAGGTTGAAGAGGCGCTGTTTGCCTTCTTCACCACACTATCTGTGTGGGTGGACCATTTCAGATTGTCAGTGATGTGTATGCCGAGGAACTTGAAGATTTTCACCTTCTCCACTGTGGCCCCATCGATGTGTATGGGGGCGTGCTCCCTCTGTTGTCTCCTGAAGTCCACAATCAGCTCTTCATTTTATTGACGTTGAGGGAGAGGTTATTTTCCTGGAACCACTCCGCCAGGGCCCTGGGGTGGTATGCAAATTGAAGTGGGTCTAGGGTGTCAGGTAGCCTCTCAAAGCACTTCATGATGACAGAATTGAGCGCTACAGGGTGATAGTATTTTAGTTCAGTTACCTTTGCTTTCTTGGGTACAAGAACAATGGTGGACATCTTGAAGCAAGTGGGGACAGCAGACTGGGATAGGGAGTGATTGAATATGTCTATAAACACTCCAGCCAGCTGGTCTGCGCATGCTCTGAGGACGCAGCTAGGGATGCCGTCTGGGCTGGCAGCCTTGCGAGGGTTAAGACACTTAAATGTCTTACTCACATTGGCCACGAAGAACGAGAGCCCACAGCCCTCGGGAGCGGGCCGTGTCGGTGGCACTGTGTTATCATCAAAATGGGCAAAGAAGGTGTTTAGCTTGTCCAGAAGCAAGACGTCGGTGTCCATGACATGGCTGGCTTTCCCTTTGTAATCCGTGATTGTCTGGAGTCCCTGCCGCATACGTCTTGTGTCTGAGCCGTTCGGAGGGCATAACTGCACTGTTTGTATTCGATCATGGTCCCAGTCACCTTGCCGTGGTTAAATGCGGTGGTTCGTGGTTTCAGTTTTGCGTGAATGCTGTCATCTATCCATGTTTTTTGGTTAAGGGAGGTTTTAATAGTCACAGTGGGAACAACATCCCCTATACACTTCCTGATTAACTCAGTCGCTGTGTCAGTGTATACGTCAATGTTATTCTCAGAGGCAACCCGGAACATATCCCAGTACGCGTGATCGAAACAATCTTGAAGCATGGATTCTGATTGGTCAGACCAGCGTTGAATAGACCTTAGCACGGGTACTTCCTGTTTGATTTTTCTGCCTATAGGAAGGGTTGAGCACAATGGATTTGCCGAACGGAGGGCGGGGGAGGGCCTTGTAGCCATCCTGGAAGGGAGAGTAACAATGGGCAATAGTTTCTGAAGCGCGAGTAGTACAGGCAATGTGTTGATAGAACTTCGTAGCGTTTTCTTCAGATTTGCTTTGTTAAAGTCCCCAGCTACAATAAATTCGGCCACAGGATATGTGGTTTTCAGTTTGCACAAAGTCCAGTGTAGTTCCATGAGGGCCGTTGTGGTATCGGCTTGAGGGGAAACATACACGGCTGGTACTATAACCAAAGCAAATTCTCTTAGGAGGTAATACGGTCGGCATTTGATTGGTATTCTAGGTCGGGTGAACAAAAGGACTTGAGTTCCTGTACGTCATCACAATCACAACATGGATAGTTAATCATGAAACATACACCTCAGGCCTTTCTTCTGTGCTCTCCATGTTCTCTGCTCTCCATGTTCTCTGCTCTCCATGTTCTCAGTCACTTGGAGGAGAGCAGAGAGAACAGAGAGTGTGTGGTTGCTTAGCCTTGAAGCAGTCATCCATTCAGCCCCTCTCTCTGTCATTAGACCCTGTGGTTTGGCGAAGGCCCAACATGCCATGTTTACCTCAGAGAGAGAGCTTTAGCTTTCCCGTCTGTCTCCCTATGTCTTTCCCTCTCTGGTACCTTTTCATGAGGCGGGACAGATTTCCGCTTTGTTGTTTCAGGCCATTAATACACACATACACTCTCACACTCACACTCAAACACACTCACACTCTCTTCCCCAGCTCTTCAAAGTGCCATGAGGAGGTTTGGGGAGGAAGGTGCCAACCCTTTACTTTATATTCTCTAAACCTCACTACTGTCCAAGACCTTGTTTGCCAAATAAGGAAGCATCTGTCTTGTGATTCCTCTGAGGAAAGACCGCAGGGCTTAACTGTTCATGATCGGTAAAAGACAGAGAAGAGGATTGCATGCCTGGTAGGTTGGATGGAGAATAATAATATTTGAGTAAATAAATGATAACAAGTTAGAATGGTGTGAAACCTGACAGGAATGACTGATTGGACGTGTTTATGACGGCTAATGTTCAAAATGTATTTTCTAAATATATTGGCCTTCATTTGATCAGAAACTTGAATAATAGTGTTCAATACAAAACTGGTCTGTCTGTCGCTGTCTTTTACCAGCAACCCCAAAGTGTTCAGATATCTCAAAACGTTGGCTGAACACACCGTAGTGTAAATACTCTAACTAAATACCTCATCCATTTGCTCATGAGGAATAATCTTGAAAGAAAAGAAAAACTTGCACACAAAGCTTCCCAGTATCACTTCAGTATATTAAGCTAACATATCGTCCTCTCTGCCTTCATCAGAGCATCTTCCTCTTGAGGATTAATCAGGTATAATCACATCACATCCAGTGTTCGACTTATACATTGAGTCATGATCTCACCTTGTAATCTCATCCACCCACCCTCTCCTTTACTCTTCCAGACCCAGTGTTCTCCGATACCTGCAAGATTGACAATAAGTTCCTGTCTCTGAACTACCTTGCTGGCTACGTAGAGCCACAGCCCTCTAAAGGCTGTGTCCTGTCTGGACCAGACCAGGACCAAGAGGTTCACATCATCGAGCTGCAAGCACCCAACTCCAGTAGGTCAGTACTGTAATCCACCACAACCATGACATAACCATAACACAACCGTAACATAACCATAACTCCAGCTGGTCAGTACTGTAGCCCACCACCTGAACCAAAACATTGTCTGACCCAAATAGGGCACACATTTATCCAGTTTGAGCTGGTTTCCTTGACACAGATTAAGCCTAGTTCTGGACTAAAGATCACTTTCAATGGAGATTCTCTATTGAGCATGCTTTAAATCGAGGATCATGCTTAATCTGTCTCTGAGAAACTGGCCCTTTATGTCAATATGATACATATTATGTTGATCACACTAACTCTTATCATGAACCTTAATGATCTCAGTGTAATTTCCCCACTACAAGAGGCCAGAATGGTCTCTCTCTCTGGTCTCTGGTAGTTTGTGTTGGATACGAAGAAAGAGGGGGGTAATATTGACCTTATGACGTTCTGTTAAGAACTCTATATCAGGCTCAGAGTCTATGGGGTCGTCCCAAAATGGCACCCTATTCACTATATAGTGCACTACTTTTGATCAGGGCCTCTATGGCACTATATAAGGAATAGGGTGCCATTTGGGATGCAGTCTATCTCAGACTCTAGTCTGTATCTCCAGTCTGCCAGGTAATCGCCTCACTCTCCCAGTGGTGTGATTACTCTGTATACGCATGAAGAGCCCCGAAATACAGGGAATATGGCAGCCATGATGTATTTCACCATACTGCTGCTATGTGGTCTGGTCTGTTACACACATGTCCTCCTCTTTCTGGGAATACTTCCAGTTTCTTAATCAGTTGGCCAGACAGAGAGAAGGCATGTAAATACAGAGTGTTTTGGGCCTTCCAAAATTCTTATGGCTCTCTCTCTCTCTCTCTCTCTCTCTCTCTCTCTTCTCCCCCCCCCTTGAGCAGTGCATTCCAGGTGGATGTGATCGTTGATCTGAGGCCGTTGGGGGCAGATGTTCTGTTGCATCGTGACGTCGTACTGCTGCTGAAGTGTGAGAAGTCTGTCAACTGGGTCATCAAGGCTCACAGCGTCATCGGGAAACTGGATGTGGTGGTACGTGACTCAGAACGTCACTCTGAATGTAACAAACACAGCCTCTCCATTTGGGAAGTGCTGTTTTGACCTAAATAAAAATTATTATATTTTCAATAGTAGCAGCTTATTTAAAGGCCATCTCCAGAGACCCAAGACTCCATCCCTCAGCTTTATAGCAAACCAAGTGGCGGCACTGCTGTTGAGTTGTTTTTCAAATTGAGTAGTTCAACTTTCAGATTTTTCCCTCCAATATTTTTTTCACTGTCTCAGTAACACCTCACAATGGCACCGATGGTGTGAGGGGAGACAGGCAGAAGAACCATGTCACAATACATGACTAGACAGGCACAGGAGACCGACAGGCATGTCACCACTTTGCGTTGCTGACCAATGCATTTGTCACAATCTGAGGAGTGTTGAAGTGGCACCTGGTTTCAACCTGCCTGCAAGGGAGGGAGGGAGATGGATGAAGCGTGAAATATCAACCTGACAGCTCCAAGGGTTGTCATCGCATCAAATGAGAGGGGGAAAGGAGGAGGAGAAAGGGGGAAGAGAGACATTTTCATAGGATCACCACATCCTCACACAGCCTGACCTGTTTGTCATCCATGATAATGTGAGTTATGAGCGCTGCTGACTGCAGGCTCTGGCTGCATCCCAAATGGCACCCTGTTACCTATATAGTGCCAACTACTTAGCATGTTAGCTAACCCTTCCCCTAACCCTAACTGTTTTAGCTAACCCTAACCTTTTTAGCTAACCCTTCCCCTAACCCCTAGCCTAGCTAACACTAGCCACCTAGCTAGAATTCATAACATGCCATACGTTTAGCTAATTCTTTTATATATTTTTTTGTTTATTTTTTACTTTTTCTCCCCAATTCGTAGTTACAGTCTTGTCCCATCGCTGCAACTCCTGTACGGACTCGGGAGAGGCGAAGGTCGAGAGCCATGCGTCCTCCGAAACAAGCCGCACAGCCTCTTGGCTCACTTAACCGGAAGCCAGCCGCACCAATGTGTCGGAGGAAACACCGTACAACTGCCAATCGTGTCAGCGTGCATGCGCCCAGACCGCCACAGGAGTCGCTAGAGCGTGATGGGAAAAGGACATCCCAGCCGGCCAAACCCTCTCCTAACCTGGACGACGCTGGGCCAATTGTGCGCCGCCTCATGGGTCTCCCGTTCGCGGCCGGCTGCAACACAGCCCGGGATCGAACCCGGCTCTGTAGTGATGCCTCAAGCACTGCGATGCAGTGCCTTAGACCGCTGCGCCACTCGGGAGTACGTTTTGCTAATTCGTAACATATTGTACATTTAGCAAATTCATAACATATAATATGAATTGTAATTTGTAACATATCATACGAAATGGTTGATGGACATCCACAAATAATACATGCCATATGAAACGTAACATATCATACTAAATGGAGTGTCCTGGACTAAAGGAAGAAATCAACCTGGCCTGCCCTCCTATCCTATCGTCTTTATGAATGCTGCGTAGCTCCATTCCATGGTCCCTATGCTAAGAGCTGACCTCAGTGGAGGTGTCTGGTGTTGTTTTATGGGCTCTGGGTCCCTGCTTCCCTGGGTTGGTTCCCACACTATGTAACAGTCATCCTCATGCAGGCAGGGTGGGTGTGTGCCTCTGCCAGGCCATGATGCTGCACTTCTGCCAGGCAGCAAGCTCAGTTTAGGCGCATGTTGCATCCCAAATGGCACACTATTCCCTATGTAATGCACTGCTTTTAACCAGGGTCCATTAATCTCTGGTCAAAAGTAGTGCACTATATAGGAAATAGGGTGCGATTTGGGACACAGACCCACACTCAGTCCCAGCCACCGTCTGCCTGTTTGTACAGCTGCACTTTAGGCTGTCACTGCACTGAATCAATCAGGCCATCAAAGCAGGTCTACGGTTGGCTACAGTAGTAGGTTACGCTAAGAGAAACAATAGGGGGAGGAGGGGATTGGAAACTGAGGACACATGGCAGCGATGTGCTGTGCTGCTGACCTACAGTTTACTGTTCTGGGACAGTACCAGCTTGCTCCCATATGGGTCGGCATGTAGCCTAGCGGTTAAGAGCGTTGGGCCAGTAACCGAAAGGTCGCTGGTTCAAATCCCCAAGCTGACTACGCGGAGGAAAAAATATGCCGATGTGCCCTTGAGCAAGGCACTTAACCCTAGTTGCTTTGGATAAGAGCATCTGCTAAAATTTAAATATCTGTTTGACATGACAGTTAATGACCAAATATTATTTGTCACATGTGCCGAATACAACGGGTGTAGATTTAACCGTGAAATGCTCAGCTTGCAGATCTCGACAAACCATTTCTGTATGAGCCTTACTTTGTGCACAGGGTCATTGTCATGCTGAAACAGGAAGGGGCCTTCCCCAAACTGTTGCCACAAAGTTGAAAGCACAGAATCATCTAGAATGTCATTGTATGCTGTAGCGTTAAGATTTCCCTTCACTGGAACTAGGGGGCCTAGCTCGACCATGAAAAACAGCCCCAGACCATTATTCCTCCTCCACCAAACTTTACAGTTGGCACTATGCGTTAGTGCAGGTAGCGTTCTCCTGGCATCCGCCAAACCCAGATTAATCCGTCGGACTGCCAGATGGTGAAGCGTGATTCATCACTCTAGAGAATGCGTTTCCACTGCTCCAGAGTCCAGTGGCGGCGAGCTTTACACCACTCCAGCCGACGCTTAGCATTGCGCATGGTGATCTTAGGCTTGTGTGCGGCTGCTTGGCCATGGAAACCCATTTCATGAAGCTCCCGACGAACAGTTATTGTGCTGACGTTGCTTCCAGAGGCAGTTTGGAACTCGGTAGTGAGTGTTGCAACCAAGGACAGACGATTTTTAAGCACTACATGCTTCAGCACTCGACGGTCCCGTTCTGTGACCTTGTTTGGCCTACCACTTCGCGGCTGAGCCGTTGCTCCTAGATATTTCCACTTCACAATAACAGCACTTACAGTTGACCGGGGCAGGTCTAGCAGGTTAGAAATCTGACTTGTTGGAAAGGTGGCATCCTATGACGGTGCCACGTTCAAAGTCACTGAGCTCTTCAGTAAGGCCATTCTACTTGCAATGTTTGTCTATGGAGATTGCATGGCTGTGTGCTCGATTTTATACACCTGTCAGCAACTGGTGTGGCTGAAATAACCTATTTGAAGGAGTGTCCACATACCTTTGTATACTTAGTGTATCAGTAAGGGATCATTATAGGAAACAGATAATACATTCAAATTGATATGTATACATTATTGATAACTTCAATTTCAAATGTTTACTTAATCTATGGACAGCTGCCCGTTTGGTCCCGCTGGACGTGGTCACTTCTTTTCAGTTGAATTTAGGAACATGGAAAAACATTTAAATTACTCCTGGGTTGATAAGGGCTGTGAAATCTGCATGATCTGTCACACAGACTGTTGTGCTATGACCGACATCATCAGTGTCTTCAGCAGACACATTTAGTTCTTCAAGTGTTGGCATTATCAAGTCCCATCGGAACAGCACAGACACTCAATTTCGGTCAGAATTGCCTTGCATTTTTCCCAGATTTTTCACATTTACACCACCACTTCCCCGTGACTCTTTCCCCCATGCTGTCTCAGCTTCTATGTGTCCAAGCTCTTCATCAGTATATTCTGGCTCATATAAATATGGTTCTGCAAAGTATGCATCCTCTTCAGGCTTGTAGCTGTCCGACTCAGACATGTTTTGATTTTGATTGAATGATTTTGGGCGGTGTAGTGCTTGAAGGACGTGTCTGCACTGCGCTATCCTCGAGAACCAGGCTCCGTGGAATTTGGAGGTGTGGCTACGCGAGACTATCAGCGCGCGGATGTAGTAGTGACGCAGAAATTAGTTCCAAGACAAGGGCAAAACAGGAAGTAAACACAGTTTGAGTTATACACATTTATGCTCGTAATAGTGTTTTGATATTGACATGCGTATAGCCCAGACGTTTTGAAGCACGTTTTTTGGGTGAGTCTGGCCACTACCACGATATGACTCCTGCAAGCAACTAAGACAGCCAAAGAAATATCAGGAATGGAACTCTGACCAAAGCAACTGTCTGGATGATGCTTCAACACTAAAAGTAAGTGGAAAATGAGGTCTAACATGCTAAAAATCGAAATATCCCTTTAAGCATTCTTATGGCTATTTAGCAGTCTTATGGCTTGGGAGTAGAAGCTGTCTCGGAGCCTGTTGGTCCGACAGCCAATGCTCCGGTACCGTTTGCCGGATGGTAGCAGAGTGAACAGTCTATGACTTGGGTGGCTGGACTCCATTGGCAATTTTTCAGGCCTGATATAGAGGTCCTGGATGGCAGGGAGCTCGGCCCAAGTGATGTACTGGACTGTCCGCACCACCCTCTGTAGCGCTTTGCGATCGATGGTGGTGCATTTGCCATACCAAGCGGTGGTGCAGCCAGTCAAGATGCTTTCAATGGTGCAGCTGTAGAACTTTCTGAGGATCCAAGGGCCCAATCTTTTCAGCCTCCTGAGGGGAAAGTGCAGGTGTGTGTGGACCATGTTAAGTCCTTAGTGATGTGGATGCCAAGGAATTTGAAGCTCTGAACCAGCTCCACTACAGCCCTGTCTATGTGGATTGGGATGTGTTCTCCCCTCCTTCTCCTGTAGTCCACGATCAGCTCCTTGGTCTTATTGACGTTGAGGGAGAGGTTGTTGTAATGGCACCACACTGCCAAGTCTCTGACCTCCTCCCTGTAGGCTGTCTCATCGCCGTCGGTGATCAGGCCTACCACAATCGTGTCGTGAAATGACTGTCATGACAAGACAGAGAGCGTGCTGGTTTAAAATATGGTCAGATTGCTCTGTCTGTACTGATGGACGAGCGTCACATAGGAGTAACTCCACCTGTCGGAAGAAAATTACTGTATACTGTATGTCATATTCAATATTCCATATGATTAATATAAACCTGTATTTACCTTTCTTTCAGACGCCAGATACCATCAGTCTGAGCCCCAACACAGAGAGGCTGATGGAGGTGTCTAGGACCCCTAAGCACCACCTCCCATCTGGCTCTCAGGCCCTGATCAAGTGGGCAGAGGATCATGGCTACGGACCGGTCACCTCCTACACCCACACCCCTGTAGCTAACACTTTCAACCTGAGGCTCAGGGAGCCAGGTGAGCAACACCCAGGCTTCTATAAGCCCTGATTGATTGATTGATGGATTGATATGAAAAAGTATTGAATTTATTTGGAGAACTCTAAAATTCTGTTTAAGACAATTGAGTGTGTTGTTGGTGCCCCCCCCCCCCCCCCCAGATCCCAGATTGACAGTAGCCGACACCATACCAGCATTTCTGGTCAGGAGGCACTAGAGGCAACTACTCTGAGACTGTCTACTGCTTCCTTTAGCTCCTTTGAGTCCCTCCTTGATACTGTAGCTCACATGAAGACATCCTCCTGCCCCTTGGACGTGATCCCTACTAGACTACTAATACAAGTTATGCCTAATGTTGGCCCCAACATTCTGTCTATTGTAAATAGCTCCATGACCTCTGGCTCCTTTTCAAAAAACTGCTCTGGTCCAACCTCTCCTTAAAAAGCACAATCTAGACCCCTCCACACTGAGTAATTATAGACCTATCTATAAACTTCCTTTTTTATCCAAGATTTTTAGAAGAAGTTGATTTCAAGCAATTGGTGGCTTATTTGGGCGGTATACCGTATACCGGGGTATTTGGAAATAGCCACGGGATGGTTTTTCAATACCGTCACCATTTAAACTATTTATTTAAAGTTTTTCAATAAATTGTAATATTGTTAGCTACTTTTTGAGTAAATACCTGCATTCAACTTGTGCAGTACAATAGGAGATAAAGCAGATTGCATTCTTCATTTCACCTGTCACATTATTTTACATTAAGAATCTTACCTTAGTTCCCCAGAACAGTTGACCCAGTCAAGTGTTTGTTTGTAAATAGCACAACAGGAGAAAGCGGGAGCAGGTCCAGCTGTGTATTGACAGGGGTCGCGTTTTATATTGAAAGCCAACAGTGTTTTTTTGCTTCACTAGAGTGATCAGGGATGTGCAGCTACAGTTTTCCTTCACAGAAAATACATTAGAGCAACACATTCTGCAAAAAATAGCTTAATTTTCATCAGATGACAACAGAAGTGCAACGCTATTTGGCTGGCAGCCACACATTTAAATGAGCTTACAATGAAAAAGCAAGGTATTTTTTGCAAAAACTATGCAGCGCCATATTTCTAATGTTTATCATAGAATGTAGCCAGCTATATTTCCTAATGTTTTGCTTAAAGTTAATCTAGCATTTTACGAGAGAAAAGTAGGCTGGCTACACCGATAAAAGTACTAGAGAAAAGTAGCTACACATTAGTCAGAGTGCTGTCTACTGATAGAATGCCCGTTCTGCTGATAGAAGATTTTAGATCTGCGTTTCCAAAACGCAGCAAAATATTTCTTATGCGTTTCATATTTTTTTCCTGCATGAACAAACACAGAATTCTGCGTTAAAGCGACCCCTAGTTTAACTTGCTAGTTATCTATGTAAGTGGCTGAATTAATAAGGTAACGGGGCATAATATTGGGTTAGTCAAAGCCCTTTGGATGAGTTATCTGTAGGCTATCTTGATTTCCTTGCGTTTTTTTCTCGTCTCTGTTCTCGGCCCGTCTGCTCCTCACCCATCTTCTCCAATCAGAGCAGGCAGGCAGGCCAGTTGCCCTAGTGACTCCAGACTCCACACAGACACAGCCTGTACACACGCTGCTCCAGAGTACTGTTCAGACAAGCATTGCTGAAAACTTTGAGTCTCTTGTTCACATTCGCTTGTAAATGCCCAAACTCACTAAAAATGACATTCGGTAGCTCCTACCTATATATGTATAACTTTATGAGCTGGATTGCCTGTCTTTCTCGTTAGCATATTTAGCTAGCAGCCTCCATGGAAATGTGTTATTACTTGTGCTAATTTTGTTAGCATTGTGGTAATAGATGCCCAATGGGCTTTTTTGCGTTTATTTTGGCACCCCCTTGTGTACTAATCCAGTAATACCGTAAATCCCGGGATAAGAGAAGGACTGTATGACGATATGAAAATCTGGATACTGCCCAACCCTACAAGTGACCTAAGCGACTTTGAGCGTGGTATGATCGTCGGTGCCAGGCACGCCGGTTCCAGTATCTCAGAAACGGCTGGCCTCCTGGGCTTTTCATGCATAACAGTGTCTAGGGTTTACAGAGAATGGTGCGACAAACAAAAAAATATCCAGTCAGCAGCAGTCCTGTGGGCGAAAACAGCTCGTTGATGAGAAAGGTCGAAGAGAATGGCAAGAATTGTGCAAGCTAACAGGCGGGCCACAAACAGGCAAATAACGGTGGTGGGCAGGTGTGCAGAATGGAATCTCGGAACGCACAACTCATCAGTCCTTGTCACGGATGGGCTGTTGCAGTAGATGACCACACCGGGTTCCACTACTATCAGCTAAAAACAAGAAGAAGCGGCTCCAGTGGGCGCGCGATCACCAACACTGGACAATTGAGGAGTGGAAAAACCTTGCCTGGTCTGATGAATCTCGGTTCCTGTTGCGTCATGCTGATGGAAGCCAGGATTAGGTATAAACAGCATGAGTTCATGGCCCCATCCTGCCTGGTGTCAATGGTATAGGCTGGTGGTGTAATGGTGTGCGGAATGTTTTCCAGACACACATTAGGTCCCTTGATACCAATTGAGCAACGTTTGAACGCCACACCTTGTAGATTCCATTCCCTGAAGAATTCAGGCTGTTCTGGAGGCAAATGGGGGTCCGACCCGGTACTAGATGGGTGTACCTAACAAACTGGCCACTGAGAGTGTATGTTTACTATATTTAAAATAATAGATAATGTATGACAAATAGACATAGGTTCACTCAATTTAAGCAAGATATCTACTATGAAAATTAATTATGCTAATAATAATAATACACTTTATTTGTAAGCGCTTTTCATGATCATGAATTTTTCTAAAAGGATAAACTGTTATAAATTATTGATTTCACAACCACATACCATCGACATCCAATTTTAACTGTCCTTATAAAGACAATAGTCTGAAACTACATCTGCTAACTCTGAGCCAGTTTAGTTTCAGTGTTCCGTTCTGTTTCTGCTCTGTGCAATTTCCATGTCTTTAAAACCACCAGATGACACTTTAACACACGCCTGTAAGTGTGTGTGTATGTGTTTGTGTGTGTGTGTGTGTGAAAGTGTGTGTGCGTGCATGTGCATTCATGCTTGTGCGTCTCTGTATCTGTGCATCTGTGTGTGTGACTAAAATGTGTCACACACACTTGACTTCCAGATGTGGTGGATCCCCTGGATTCAATGTTCCCTCCAGAACTCTTCATCTTACGGGACACCAACCCCCTTCTCTCTGGTGGTCAGGGGGGTGCCGCCCCGCACTCCGGTGGCCTGCCCTTCACCTTCCCCCTGCCCCCGCTCATGGAGCAGGGCCTGCCCTACCTGTCCCTGCCCCCCTCCCTGGATGACCGGCCCTGGCTGGGGCTGGGAGGGGAGCTGGGTGGGGAGCCTGAGGAGCAGCAGGGGACCCTCAGTGCGGGTCTCAGTGTTCAGTGTGAGGAGAGCAGGATAGTGGTCAGCATCGACCGAGAGAGTCTGCAGGTGAGGAGATACTTTAGTAGTCAGCCAACTGGTTTATCACTGTGACTAAATGTCTGCCTCCATTGCATCAAAAATGGAGGAAAGGCAGTTATGGAATTCCCACTTTTCATGCTTGATTTAACTGTATGAGTCTTCCTCTTTAATACTGACTGGCACTGACTTGAATGAACAGTGTGTAGTGTGTTTGCTACTTTTGTGTGTGTGCCCTACCACTTGGCACTATGAAGCAGGCACAACACGATAGACAACATCACAGTGTAGTAAAACCCACACACTGCAATTAGGGATAATTATGGTTAGACCACTATCCTGTGGTTTTATTTAACATCACACAGAGAAGTAGTCTGTGCTGTAGAGTGGCATAGTGACGTCTAATGCCACACTAGTCTAGTGCCATGTGTCGCAGTAACTTCTACTGACAGTATTGAGATTATCATGATTTACATTTTATTGCCAAGACTATAGATTATATTGACATTATATCGTTAAAAAAATACTTTATAGATGATTTACTATTTATTTATTATTTAATTACATTGTCTCTTTCCTCAGGCCAACGGTTACGCTAATGTCAACATGACTCTTCAAGACCCAGAATGCAAAGCAATGGTTAACTCCACCCACTACACGCTGGAGACCCCATTGGAGGGCTGTCAGACCGCCAAGTACCCCATGCACCCCGGTCCTATGGTCCTCTACATCAACTCAGTGAGTAGCACACTTACAGTACCAAATGGTCATCTACAACAACTAATTGAAGGCATGTTTCCTGGACCCTAGCCTACCATATGTTATCATACTCCCAAATCTTGTAAAGCTTGGAAATTGAGGTTGCCCAGACCCTAATAAGCATACTCCTGGACTAAAAAGAATCTCCATTTAAAATACTTTTAGTCCAAGAGTTGACTTAGTCTGTGTCTGGGAAACTAGCCCTATATGAGTACTGTATTCACATAATTAAATAGAAGCCGCAGGAAGTAGGGGTGCTGAGGGGGCTGCCGCACCGCCTGATAAATCAACATTTCAATAAATAAATAAACCCCCCCTCCCTCCCCCCCACAAAATGTGTGAACTAGGCCTTTATTACTCCTGGATAAAAAAAAATCTATCTTCTTGGATGCAGAGATAACTTCAAATCCCTATGGTCAAAACAAATTAGTCTTCATTTAGCTGTTTCGCAATACATCACAGCCCTATGTCCTTGAATGGTCCTTGTTTGTTCCATCCTACAATAAAGCATTTTAATTACTTAGGCTGCGTCCTAAATGGCACCCTATTTATTAGGCTTGGGCGGTATCCAGATTGTCATACCTTCATACCGACCTTGTGCCATCCCAGGATATTTGGTAATACCGGCACTGAACACAAGGGGAGCTATTTTCAAACCCCACTGAGCCTCTGTAATCCAAAGGTTAGCAATGCTAACAAGTATATGTAAAATACCATAGAGAGTGCTAACTACATGCTAACGAGCGCATTGCGAACATTTGATACAGTCTCTGACTTAAACTATTTGCAGGACAGACATCCCAGCTCATAAAGTTATACAAGTAATTCAAAAATGCTACTCACAGTTTGTTGCACACACAAAACACATATTAGACAGCAAGGCTCTTGATCCAGTAGGGGATTCTCAGCTGTTACAAAGCGAAGCTTGATTTCGGAAGAAGCTAACCACTTAGCTAGATAGCTAACTAGCTACTAAATTAGCAAACCAAATACACAACAGCAGAGCATTTAGCACGTTTTAGTCAGTTAACTTAATAGTTATAAAATATCTAGCTGGCAAACATTTAGTTGTGAATTCCATACTGAAACTAGATCACCTGGCGCGTGCTGCATAACAGTGAGTGACTCTGGTCTCTGGTCTCTCATCATTGTGTGCTTGTAAACAAACACCACGTGACTGGGGACTACCAGTAAGATTCATAACGTATTGCACAAGTTGATTGCAGGTATTTACTTAAAAAGTAGCCATAAATATTATAATTAAAAACAAAACTTCAAATAAATAGTTTCAATGGTATTGACGGTATTGAAAAAACAGCCTGTGGCTATTTCTAAATACCCCAGTATATGGAATATACGGTATACCGCCCAAGTCTACTATTTACTATATAGTGCACTAGGGCCTTGGTCAAAAGTAGAACACTATATAGGGAATAGGGTGCCATTTGGGATGCATCCTTAGACTAGAGACTACACTGGCTGGTCAACAAGTGTGAAATAAGCACCAGTAGGAATAAACTAAATGTCAATGGCAGTAGTTGACCTCATTTAGTCCTTGTCCTCTAGCCCTAACTCACCTCTGACCCTGTAAACGTCTGAAGTACACAGAGTGGGCTTCCAATGTTTCTTTCCTGTGGAGAAAATGAAATATATGCTTCACAGGGTTCCACCTGAGAGAGCTCTCAGCTCTGGACTGTTGAAATCTCTGGACGTTCCCACGTTTTAATTTCAGCTCATCTGTTGTAGAATGTTTTGGAAGCTAGATTCAGACCAGAGCCGCATCACTGGTGTGCTGAGTAGGGTTGCAGATGGAGGGTATATTACTGGAAACTTTAGAAGTTTACCAGTAAACTACCAGGATTTTGGTATCTTTCAAGGAGTTTATGTAATATATCACAAGACATCTAGTGGCCCTTTTGGGTACGTGTCTGTAATAATCTCTGGCCCTCTGTGTGGCCTTATCACATGTAAAATATATGAAATAATTGAATAAGATTATTAAAAAGATAATACATTAAATGACAAAGCTGTAAAACAATATTCTAAATACAAACCATCAACTTAGTGAATACCATTGGTGTTTAATATGAGTGTTTCAGCATGAAATATCCTTTATATGTTTTCAAACTTTTATTTATTTTATTATGTCAATATGTATTTGTGTCAATGTTTTGGCGTCAAACTGGTGGCAGTTATGAAAAAAGTAAATAGTTAGAAGAGTTGCAGAGTTAATTGAAAATAATGGCATTGTGGATTAGATGCTTTTGTCTTTAATTAGGCTATTTTCTCTTGGTCAATACTTATTTCCCTCATTAAAATGCAAATCAATTGATAACATTTTTGACATGCGTTTTTCTGGATTTTTTTGTTGTTATTCTGTCTCTCACTGTTCAAATAAACCTACAATTAAAATTATAGACTGATCATTTCTTTGTCAGTGGGCAAACGTACAAAATCAGCAGGGGATCAAATACTTTTTTCCCTCACTGTATATAGTGCACTGTTTTTTACCAAAGCCCTGACAAAAGTAGTGCACTATATAGGCAATATGGTGCCATTTGAGATACACCCATAAAACATAATTTGGCGCCGATAGCTCGGCACGTGTCCTGTTCACCTTGTGAATATATCTGAACTATGTTCAATGATTCAATGATCAACACCCCTGTGTGGCTGACGTACAGATTCTAAAAAGTCAAGCTGAACCTGTTCAATGTGGTTTTGTCCCAAATGGCACCTTAGCTATTCCCTTGATAGTGCACTACTTTAGAACAGGGCCCATAGGGCTTTGGTCAAAAGTTTGTGCACTATAAAGGGAATAACTGGGGTGCCATTAAGGACGCATACTGAATCTGAACTGTGTTCACTGATGTGTTCAACTCCCCTGTGGTTGACATCCAGATCCTGATAAGTCATGCTGAGCCTAAGGATGGGAATGGTGGTCCCCTGGATTACGATGATCTAGAGTCCGGAGACGTGACCTTCCCTAGGGAGACAGAGCAGCTGGAGAGGCTGGAGAGGTCTGCTTTCCTGGAGCACACCACGGGGCCTGATCACAGGTCATCCATTCTGGTAAGACATCTATAATATAAGATAATATAGATTCTATATGATTGGCTCTCTCTCGCCGGACTAGAACACAGGTCCTCCATTCTCAAATCAAATCAAATCAAATGTTATTTGTCACATGCGCCGAATACAACAGGTGGAGACCTTACTGTGAAATGCTTACTTACAAGCCCTTAACTAACAATGCAGTTTTAAGAAAATAGAGTTAAGAAAATATTTACTAAATAAACTAAAGTAAAAAAAAATATATATTACACAGTAAAATAACAATAACGAGGCTATATACAGGGGGTACCGGTACCGAGTCAATGTGCGGGGGTACAGGTTAGTCGAGGTAATTTGTACATATAGGTAGGGGTAACGTGACTATGCATAGATAATAAACAGCGAGTAGCAGCTGTGTAAAAACAAAGGGGGGGTGGGGGGGTCAATGCACTAATATGTTTTGCTGCGATGTGGGGGGGCCCCCAACCAGATCTCACTTAGGGCCCCCAAAAGGCTAGAGCTGGTCCTGTAGCTACATGACTCTGTTTGTTTGTTTTTCATGCATTTGGTCTCCCTCGAACAAGAGGTTGGTTTTCAAACTCAAGGGAGTTTATCCTGGTTAATGAACCCTAAATGAAAAAGGAATTAAGAGAGTAGCATTGCATGACAGGGCCTGCCTGGGGTTGAGAGAGTTGGGAGTCAAGACCAGACCACTGATCATCAATAAATAACATAGTACCTCCGCCTGAATCCTGTCCAGATGGTTGAAACTCCATCTCCCAGAGTCCCTCAGTGCTAGTAAAGACTCATCTGGCTTCTTAGGAGGATGGAAGATTCCAACTCTCACTGTCTACTCCCCACATTATCTTTATGTCTTGAACTTCTTCTGACCTGAACGTTTTGGGAAATCTGCCATCACGCTTTCCCTTTCATCTACAAAGTCTCTTTCCTTTCTCTCTCTGTGTCACTATAGCCATACTCTTTACCCATGCACACTCTTCCTCTCTCCTCTTTGTCTCTCTCTTTCATTCCCTTCCTTCTGCCCGAGTGGCGCAGCGGTCTAAGGCACTGCATCTCAGTGCTAGAGGCGTCACTACAGACCCTGGTTCGATTCCAGGCTGTATCATAACCGGCCGTGATTGGGAGTCCCATAGGGTGGTCCCCAATTGGCCCAGCGTCGTCCAGGTTTGGCCGGGGTAGGCCGTCATTGTAAATAATAATTTGTTCTTAACTGACTTGCCTAGTTAAATAAAGGTTAAATAAAATAAAAAATATCTCTGTATCCTTCAGTGATATTGCTGTGATGAAACACTTGACACACTCCTGGCCATGAAGGCCAGGTGGTGTGAGGGCCAGGGTGAGGACCAGGGGGGTGGTGAGGGTCAGGGTGAGGGTGAGGTTGAGGACCAGGGTAATGGCCAGAGTGAGGGCCAGGGTATGTTAGAACCATGATTATGTTGTGATTGGCTCTTCTCTCCTTCACCCCTCCAATTCCTGTTTTGATTGGCTCTTCTCTTGCCCCCCTCCCCCAGTTCAACTGTTTGGATTGGCTCTTCTCTCCTTCTCCGTCCAGTTCAACTGTTTTGACTGGCTTTCTCTCCTTCTCTCTCCCCCCTCTCTCCAGTTCAACTGCACCTATAGGAAGAAACAGGACACCCTAGGAGGATCAGGATCATCAGGATCGTTCCCCCGTATTGCCCCGGCTGCGAAGGAACTGCTCAGCACCGATGTCATGTTCAACATGGAGCTGTACAACACCCATCTCTTCCGTTATCCGTCTACCCAGGCCTTCCACACCGTCTCCAAAAATAAACAGGTCTTCGTAGAGGTAAACGAAGCAGTGAAATACTATAAACTGTACTAAATATATTTAAGCAGTACATTGTGTCGGTTGTATTTTTAGCCTGGGTGTGATTCGCTCAGATGAATATAATTAGTAGGCTAGTATCCAGATGTTAGGACATGTGGGTTGTTGGAGCAATTTCACAAGAGCCAGGATTGTCTGTATGTGTGTGTGTGTGTATATGTATGTGTCTCTGTCTCTGTCTCTCTAAATATGACGCCTGTCAAAACAACAGTGAGGACTGTTCTGTGTGTACACTGGTCTAGCTTCCACAGGGTCCGTTGATATTTGGTCTGGGTCCGAAGGATATATAGTTAACATATCCTCTTTCTGTTGTTAGCTACCCCTCACAGCCATCATCTCAGTCTCAAGTGTCCTGGCACATACTGTATGGCATTTAGAATTCTCCCCAGAGACCTTAACTTCTATTTATTCTGTCTGGCAAGTCCAGAATGCACCTTGCTAATAGCACTGAAAAGTAATTACTAAGAAGGTCCTATCAGGAGGTTGTGTAAGATAAGTTAGAGATCCACACAGTGAGGCTCTTTGAAGTGTTGATTTATGGAGGTATCTGAGGAGGACAGCTGCTCTGACAGTGTGGCCTCAGAGAGCCAGCAGCAACAAGTCACAAAGAGCTCTGTGTGTGGGGCCATGGGGCCTAGTCCTTAACCCCTCTCTAGCCCTTTCTCTCCCACCTCCACACCTCTCACACTGGGCTGAGATCTGCCATGCCATGCCCTGCCTTGGCCCCTGAGGCTACGGCCCAAACTAAGCTGTATAGGAAACTGCTGTTGTGCATCAAGTGTGTCATAACTTGTGTTACTCATAGGTCAGGTCACAGGCTGCATGTACAGTGCTCACTGGGTTTTCACTAGTCCCTGCCAACCATGAAATCTGTCCTTTGAACGCGGTGTGCGGGCGTGCCTGTGTGCGTGTTTGTGTGTCCGTGCCTGCGTGCATACATGTGTGCTTTTGACTGGGCAAGCTTTTTGACAACCTTGGAATGTCGATGGCACAGCCTGAAAACAGTAAAACACATGTTGGTTTTTCAGAGAAAAACGAGAGAGAAAGCAGCAGAGGGATAATAAGTCATGATGCGTCCCAAATGGCACCCTATTCCAGGGCCCATAGGTTTCTGGTCAAAAGTAGTGCACTATATGGGGAATAGGGTGCCATTTGGGACGCATCCCATAACTCAGGGAAATGCCTTGTGGTCTGCTGAAGGAAAGATCCTCTTTAAACGTTTGAAGGGACTGAAATCCACTTCAGGATTTGTGATTATTGGACCTGATAGCACTCTGATAGTGTTCCTTTAGCTTGTTCTCTGTGTTAAAACAAATAGTCAGCTCCTGGACTGACAGAGAGTGTACAGACATTTGCCAAGATGGTGTTCCTCACAAGACTTTGCAGACCGAAACAGATAGTTTGTCAATTCGACGACGTCAATGAGAGGATTCGTTAATAAAATCATTGGACATCTTTAGAGGCTGTATCAATCATATAACCTCCACTCATTGCTTACACATTATTAACTGTAAAATATTTTGGGACTTGAGTTGATTGTTTTTGTGAAAAATGACACAATGTTCCCTGTGTGTTTAATACAAAAATCTTTCATCTTGATTTTCATGTTTTTTTAAAACTTTCTCCTGTCAGTGTAGTGGAGCCTTCAAAGTCGACCCAGATCTTGGCTTCATGATCCAGACCTGCTTCATCTCTGCCAACTCCAACCCCAACATCGCTTCAGACTACACACTTATCGAGAATATCTGCCCTAGGGACGAAACGGTCAAATACTACCCTCAGAGAGACCTCCCTATCCCCCACCCCCAGACCGATAGGAAGAGGTTCAGCTTCACCTTCAACTCACACTTCAATGAATCGTTGCTCTTCCTGCACTGTGAGATGTCCCTCTGCTCTAAGAGACCCCACAATAACCAGGGACTGGCAATGGTATGTTTTCATTTGTTTTCCGTATTTGTATTATTTCTTGACTTACTTGACGCCCTTGGCTCCTATAGTCCCAGTCGGTATTAGATAGAACGTCATGGCCCCGCTCGCCTGTGGGGAAAACAACCTGTGGTTACTTAGGTTACCCCATTGTCTCACAGAATGCACATTTTATTGTTGTCTACTTGTTTTAGTCAATTACAAAACTACAGTTAAGAAAGGTACAACGTCTAAAGATTGCTTTTCAATGTTGCCTGCTCCCGAGCTTTCTCACTATTTAGAAAAATGTAATATTGTAGGGCTTCCCTCATGCCCTTTTTCATCAAGGTGCTAGGAGCCACGTGAGTGAGTGTTAGCTAGCTACCGACTGGAACATTAAGCTAGCCAAGACCAACTACACAAACAAACAGACTATACAGCAACAAGAAGTAAGTGGAGTTACAAACAGACTAAACAAGTTAAATGTCTTACCTGTAATTAAATGTTTTCCACACACATACAGTGCCTTCAGGAAGTATTCATACCCCTTGACTTATTCCACATTTTGTTGTCTTACAGCCTGAATTCAAAAAGGATTACATAGATTTTTTTTCTACACACAATACCCCATAATGACAGTGTTCTTAGAGATCTTTGCACATTTATTGAAAATTAAATACAGAAATATATAATTTAAATAAGTATTCACACCCCTGAGTCAATGCATGTTAGAATCACCTTTGGCAGCAAATACAGCTGTGAGACTTTCTGGGTAAGTCTCTAAGAACTTTGCACACCTGGTTTCCCTCAACGTGATCAAGACAAAGGAGATGATCGTGGACTACAGGAAAAAAAAGAGGACTGAGCACGCCCCCATTCTCATCGACGGGGCTGTAGTGGAACAGGTTGAGAGCTTCAAGTTCCTTGGTGTCCACATCACCAACTAACTATCATGGTCCAAACACACCAAGACCGTCATGAAGAGGGCACGACAAAGCCTATTCCCCCTCAGGAGACTGAAAAGATTTGGCATGGGTCCTCAGATCCTCAAAAAGTTATACAGCTGCACCATCGAGAGTATCCTGACTGGTTGCATCACTGCCTGGTATGGCAACTGCTCGGCCTCCGACCGCAAGGCACTACAGAGGGTAGAGCGTACGGCACAGTACATCACTGGGGCCAAGCTCCCTGCCATCCAGGACCTCTATACCAGGCGGTGTCAGAGGAAGGCGCTAAAACGTATCAAAGACTCCAGCCAACCTAGTCATAGACTGTTCTCTCTGTTACCGCATGGCAAGCGGTACCGGAGCGCTAAGTCTAGGTCCAAAAGGCTTCTTAACAGCTTCTACCCCCAAGCCATAAGACTCCTGAACAGCTAATCATGGCTACCCAGACTATTTGCAAGCTCTGTCAAGTTGGTTGTTGTTCATTGCTAGACAGCCATGTTCAAGGCTAGCCCTAAATGTTCAAGCCTATTTCCGTCAAAACTGTAACTAGGCCACTCAGGAACATTCAATGTCGTCTTGGTAAGCAACTCCAGTGTATATTTGGCTTTATGTTTTAGGTTATTGTCCTGCTGAAAGGTGCAATTTTCTCCCAGTGTCTGTTGAAAAGCAGACTGAACCAGGTTTTCCTCTAGGATTTTGCCTGTGCTTAGCTCTATGGCGTTTATAAAAAATAAATTAAACTCCATAGTCCTTGCCAATGACAAGCATACCCTTAACATGATGCAGCCACCACCATGCTTGAAAATATGAAGAGTGTTACTTAGTGATGTGTTGTGTTGGATTTGCCCCAAACATAAAACTTTGTATTTAGGACATAAAGTAATGTATTTATTTTTTATTTAGGGGGTAGGTCAGCTTTAATATTACAGATGGATTGTAGCTTCCATCAATGTAATTGTCAGCATCATTTCCAATCCCCCATATTATTTATATATATATATATATATATATATATATATATATATATATATATATATATATATATATATATATATATATATATATATATATATATACACACACAGTGGGGAGAACAAGTATTTGATACACTGCCGATTTTGCAGGTTTTCCTACTTACAAAGCATGTAGAGGTCTGTATTTCTTATCATAGGTACACGTCAACTGTGAGAGACGGAATCTAAAACAAAAATCCAGAAAATCACATTGTATGATTTTTAAGTAATTAATTTGCATTTTATTGCATGACATAAGTATTTGATCACCTACCAACCAGTAAGAATTCCGGCTCTCACAGACCTGTTAGTTTTTCTTTAAGAAGCCCTCCTGTTCTCCCTCATTACCTGTATTAACTGCACCTATTTGAACTCGTTACCTGTATAAAAGACACCTGTCCACACACTCAATCAAACAGACTCCAACCTCTCCACAATGGCCAAGACCAGAGAGCTGTGTAAGGACATCAGGGAAAAAATTGTAGACCTGCACAAGGCTGGGATGGGCTACAGGGCAATAGGCAAGCAGCTTGTTGAGAAGGCAACAACTGTTGGCGCAATTATTAGAAAATGGAAGAAGTTCAAGATGACGGTCAATCACCCTCGGTCTGGGGCTCCATGCAAGATCTCACCTCGTGGGGCATCAATGATCATGAGGAAGGTGAGGGATCAGCCCAGAACTACACGGCAGGACCTGGTCAATGACCTGAAGAGAGCTGGGACCACAGTCTCAAAGAAAACCATTAATAACACACTACGCCGTCATGGATTAAAGTCCTGCAGCGCACACAAGGTCCCCCTGCTCAAGCCAGCGCATGTCCAGGCCCATCTGAAGTTTGCCAATGACCATCTGGATGATCCAGAGGAGGAATGGGAGAAGGTCATGTGGTCTGATGAGACAAAAATATAGCTTTTTGGTCTAAACTCCACTCCGTGTTTGGAGGAAGAAGAAGGATGAGTACAACCCCAAGAACACCATCCCAACCGTGAAGCATGGAGGTGGAAACATCATTATTTGGGGATGCTTTTCTGCAAAGGGGACAGGATGACTGCACCGTATTGAAGGATGGATGGGGCCATGTATCGCGAGATCTTGGCCAACAACCTCCTTCCCTCAGTAAGAGCATTGAAGATGGGTTGTGGCTGGGTCTTCCAGCATGACAATGACCCGAAACACACAGCCAGGGCAACTAAGGAGTGGCTCCGTAAAAAGCATCTCAAGGTCCTGGAGTGGCCTAGCCAGTCTCCAGACCTGAACCCAATAGAACATCTTTGGCGGGAGCTGAAAGTCTGTATTGCCCAGCGACAGCCCCGAAACCTGAAGGATCTGGAGAAGGTCTGTATGGAGGAGTGGGCCAAAATCCCTGCTGCAGTGTGTGCAAACCTGGTCAAGACCTACAGGAAACGTGTGATCTCTGTAATTGCAAACAAAGGTTTCCCTTATCCTACTTATAAAGCATGAAGTGGTCTGTAATTTTTATCATAGGTACACTTCAACGGTGAGAGACGGAATCTAAAACAAAAATCCAGAAAATCACATTGTATGATTCTTAAGTAATTAATTTGCATTTTATTTTATGACATAAGTATTTTATACATAAGAAAAGCAGAACTTAATATTTGATACAGAAACCTTTGTTTGCAATTACAGAGATCATACGTTTCCTGTAGGTCTTGACTAGGTTTGCATACACTGCAGCAGGGATTTTGGCCCACTCCTCCATACAGACCTTCTCCAGATCCTTCAGGTTTCGGGGCTGTCACTGGGCAATACGGACTTTCAGCTCCCTCCAAAGATTTTCAATTGGGTTCAGGTCTGGAGACTGGCTAGGCCACTCCAGGACCTTGAGATGCTTCTTACAGAGCCACTCCTTAGTTGCCCTGGCTGTGTGTTTCGGGTCGTTGTCATGCTGGAAGACAAAGCCACGATCCATCTTCAATGCTCTTACTAAGGGAAGGAGGTTGTTGGCCAAGATCTCGCGATACATGGCCCATCCACCCTCCCCTCAATACGGTGCAGTCGTCCTGTCCCCTTTTGCAGAAAAGCATCCCCAAAGAATTATGTTTACACCTCCATGCTTCACGGTTGGGATGGTGTTCTTAGGGTTGTACACATCCTTCTTCTTCCTCCAAACACGGCGAGTGGAGTTTAGACCAAAAAGCTCTATTTTTGTCTCATCAGACCACATGACCTTCTCCCATTCTTCCTCTGGATCATCCAGATGGTCATTGGCAAACTTCAGACGGGCCTGGTCATGCGCTGGCTTGAGCAGGGGGACCTTGCGTGCGCTGCAGGATATTAATCCATGACGGCGTAGTGTGTTACTAATGGTTTTCTTTGAGACTGTGGTCCCAGCTCTCTTCAGGTCATTGACCAGGTCCTGCCGTGTAGTTCTGGGCTGATCCCTCACCTTCCTCATGATCATTGATGCCCCACGAGGTGAGATCTTGCATGGAGCCCCAGACCGAGGGTGATTGACCGTCATCTTGAACTTCTTCCATTTTCTAATAATTGCGCCAACTGTTGTTGCCTTCTCACCAAGCTGCTTGCCTATTGTCCTGTAGCCCATCCCAGCCTTGTGCAGGTCTACAATTTTATCCCTGATGTCCTTACACAGCTCTCTGGTCTTGGCCATTGTGGAGAGGTTGGAGTCTGTTTGATTGAGTGCGTGGACAGGTGTCTTTTATACATGTAACGAGTTCAAACAGGTGCAGTTAATACAGGTAATGAGTGGAGAACAGGAGGGCTTCTTAAAGAAAAACGAATAGGTCTGTGAGAGCCGGAATTCTTACTGGTTGGTAGGTGATCAAATACTTATGTCATGCAATAAAATGCAAATTAATTACTTAAAAATCATACAATGTGATTTTCTGGATTTTTGTTTTATATTCCGTCTCTCACAGTTGAAGTGTACCTATGATAAAAATTACAGACCTCTACATGCTTTGTAAGTAGGAAAACCTGCAAAATCGGCAGTGTATCAAATACTTGTTCTCCCCACTGTATGTATATATATATATATATATATATATATATATATATATATATATATATATATATATA